CAACGTAGTCAACGTAGTCAACATGCCGTAATAATCGTGGAAAGAAGAAGACCTGACTACTACCTACCTACTACAGTGGACATGCTCCATCATCACAAAAGCACCCAAGCCTGCAGGTTACCTTAGCCCTTCGGTTGGAGCGAAGCGTGTGGCTGCCCAGCCCCGGTCCTGACCTCCACGGACCCGGGAAACCCTCGCCTCCTGGCCCAGCCAGCAGTACTTTTGCATAGGGCGGAGTTCTCTCGACGGATGCTACACTGCAGCAGGCTCGCACCCGTATCTCTCCTGTTCGCTCCAACCCTCGCCCAAACGGGCCAAATCTCGTTGCACAATATCTTCTTGTCAAAGCCGCCTTGCATGACAAGAGAAGAAAAAAAACACGCATCTGAACTACGGAGTCGGCCCAGTTGAAGAAACTGAAAACGTCAAGAAAACGTCATAAAACATCACAAGAGAGCGTCCAAAGAAAAAGAAGACCGCTGTCGCCGAGGAACGGATGGACACCCCACCATCAATGACGCCCGCGCGGACCGGGGTAGCTCCTGGCAAGGGGTGTGTATGTGTGGTAGATAGGACCTGGCCAACTAGACAGCCAGCTATCAGGTATGCAAAAACAGACACTTCAGCTTCAATAGAACGAGAGCAGATAGAAAACCTGCACTTCCGGTCGAATTGACTTATCAGCTTATCAAAACAAGACTCTTAAATCGCTGAACAAATCGCAGCCGCCCAGGACTTTCCGTCAGACAGAGATAGATTACTTGCATTCGATGCCCAGCCAGCATGGCGCACCTCATTCGATCTCCTGCAGCCGCCCCCTGCCCCCTTCCGATACGAACCATTGATCCAACCAGGCACGTTATGCACCACTACCGAATCTCGCCATCTACCATGCAAATCGAATTGGCGATGTGCCGTAGGGTTGCAATAAGGAATTGGAATGAGAAATAGATATCAAGAAACAAAGAATAGATCTCGGCGTGGCAGTGACTCAGACTCGCGGCCAGACGGACGCGCAAGCCTTCTCCCCAACGTTTGGTTAAGCGACTGCAGTCTTGCCCAACGCTTACACCGAGGTTATCAGGTAAGCAACGTCGGGTCGGGTACGGTAGGTAGTCACCGCTCAGCGCTCTGTAATAAAAGTTATGAGAGGTAGAAAACATGCGTGCCCAGACTCTGATGTGTTATGGATCCGGGATCGCAGCTTGCGTTCCAATACCAACGTGAACGAATTCTGCCTGAATGCAGGAACTCCGATACCGATATGAAAGACTACAAGCCGAACACCATCATCAGGCAGCTTCACGGTGCTTGCGCGTATGCCCACATAAATGCAAGTTGGGACTTATCCCATGCCTATGGGGAACGAGGTTCGTTCGCCTCAAGCTCGTCCGGGAAACGGATGGCCCTGCCGGCCACTGGTAGGCTCTGGGCTTCGAGCTCCTGAGTGTTGTTGCTCGCATCGATCGCCTCGCCGCGCTCTCCCGTCATCGGCCGCGGCGTCTGTGTGCCGGGGGTGCCCCGGGGAGACAACGGCTGCTTAGGAATAACGGAGCCCCCGATCCTATACATAGGCCGGGCCGATGTCGAGCGCGAGCCGCCCGGCGGTGTGATATCTTCTGAGGCACGCGTAGATGTTCGCGGCAGACGCATCACCAGAGGACCAATACGGAATGGGTTGCTATGTTCGTCTGAATTCCCTGGTGTTGTAATCGTCCGTGAGAGCGTCCTCGGCAAGTAGAAGCCTAGCTTTCCAAGCGGAATGCTCAAGCCATGGACAACCTGCAATATCACATTGTATTAGCAATGCCATTCCACTCTCGAGATGCGTGGATGTAGCCTACTATGCTGCAAATTGCAATGAACCACACAATGACTGTGACAGCCTCCCCCAATTCAGACACATCTGCTCGTGGCTCGCCATCGCTGGTCTTCAAGCCTTCGACAAATTCCAAGGTGATGTACAAATAGAAGATCGCAGAGACACCGACCGGACCGAAGAAGCCCACGAAAATGGCATGCCTAATCTCCTCTATCTGCGGAAGATATTTGTGAACAGCGAGTATCCAAGGCAGGCGACGAAAGAGCAGGATAAGAATACCCAAGGGAATGAGTCGGTAGATAGGGACGACGCTATTGTGAAGAAAGTCGTTCCAGGGGCACACAGTACCATACCACATGAAAATCGAGACGTTCAACAGCATGTCAATCGTCGGCTGCAGCGAATCGTCCAGGGTCTCTAGCCTAAACCAATCGTCCCAAGTGAAAACACTAAAGTTTCTGGATTTAGTAGTTGTCTTAATAGGGGGGTGAATAGGGGGGTGGAGGAGCATGAGCATCTTGAGGGCGGGATGTCTCCGGAGCAAGTAGCCACATTTATACAACCCTTCTGTCTCCAATGATTGGAATAAGACTGCAACATATGAAAACGAACGCCAAAAATAACTTACTTTCCAGCAATGAAGCACGCGAGCACGTCGTCGCTTCCAATGAGGCCGCATGTGCCCGTGATGAAGAGCGCCAAGGAGATGGCGAAGACAAGAAAGCTCTCCCGGTCCACATACTTGTTCTTCTCGGCCCAATGGAGCAGCTCCTTAGCCAGCCAGCCCACGGCGGCGCCGTAAATGACACTTAGAATGATGGTATAGCCCCATGTCTCGCCAAACCATAGCCCAATTGCCAAACCACCGCCCCCCTTCTCTGCCACGCCGCCATCGCCGATATACTTGATGAGATACAGAGCGAGGAAGAGAAAGGGATAACCCAGTCCGTCGTTTGCACCCGATTCGGCAACAATGATTTGTTGGAGCTCCTTAGGTACGTTGTGATCCGCAAACTTACCCTTCACAATAACATTAGAGAGGATAGGGTCAGTAGGCGTAACGCAAGATCCAATTGCCAAAGCATGGAGAAATGGAAGATGTGGAACAAGTGCCCAGACCAGAAGGCTCGTGGAGATCCACATGGCAGTCATGATCGGGCCAAGCAGGATCGACAATGGTTTCCATTGTTTCTTGAGATAGCGGCTTGGTAACTGGACACCAGTCAAAACAAGCTGTACGCCAAGGACTAGACGCGAGAAGTACAGCGTTACAGCATTGAGATTCTCTTGGCTTCCAGCATACTCCAGTGGCCGGACTAGATTCGCAGCTGGAGGAGAAAACGCAACACCTGCAAGCAGCGATATCACTGTCAAGAAAGATGAAGTCAGTAAAGAGGTCTATAAAGGCCTAGGCCTGCATATACAGCCACCGGGAAGGGAGACATACAGGCCTCAGAGAGATAAAAGCTTTCCTTGCACAGATAGGATACGAGACCAAAGAGTGAGATCCATCCGCCCAGTACACTGACGACTATGTTGAAATTGTTTACCGCCAAGGTGGGCATCTTGATAAGCTTTTTGGCGACCAATACCGGGCCGCTCTAGTTTCCTACGGAAGATATCAAGTAACTCCAGAGTCGTCCTTGCTGGTCCGCAAGGCTGGAAGGTAGTGATAAGGTATAGGAAATGGGGTTAATGTTATCGAATCATTGAATTGGCTTGCTGTGACACACTCTGGGCGAAATAGCAACGCCAGGTTGTGAATTTTTTTTCCCTCAATGGGAAGCGCGGGCGACACGGTCGAATGTGAACAGTCTACTGCGAAGGTTGATACCAATGATAAGGTCACGCTGATGACCTGAAACTCGATCGGGTAGTGCGGATCAAGATGCAAAGAGTTGCCAAGATGAAAGATCTGAAATGAGGATGTTACTTATGAGAAGTTCGTCTTGTCACTGGCGGCGGGTTGTCCTGACCGGGAGCCTGGTCGGAATGAGCTGAGTGGGTCACCAACCCGGCCACTTATAGCAGGATGCGGACGGGACCGAGAACGACAACTTGATTCTTAGTGTGTCTTGGCGATTATCACTGAAAAGCAGCTGCATCTTGCGCGCTGTACCTAGGTAGTGAACACCTACCTAAGAGGAAGCATAATTACTTATTGTTTGCGTAGTATCAAACGCTCTCGATGAGTGCTACTACTGAAGTATGATGAGTAAGTAACTAAGTAACACAGGTACAGTAGTCAACCGTCAGGTAGTTAGTCATACCTAATAACAAAATCGTACTGACCAATACGCCCAATGTCACTGGAAATTATACCCGGAATATCGCTTTCAAATGAGGAGTGTTGCACGTTCCAAATGCCAGCATGGTTAGTGGATGCAAAGCCAAGTCCCCAGAGTTTTGGGTATCTTGGCTTTCCTTGTCTCTCAGTTGTCACCAATTCGCATCTGGCATCTTCTCCAAAACAACGAAAGAAGCCTTTCAATCTTTGCAAGTATGGTGGTATTGATGGACAAAATGGAGAAAAGCTCTATGGCCTGCCAAGTCTGGCAGACTACATTCACATATCCGAATAACAGTTACAACCATGCGCGCCTAATGCGCCGATCGGCTCCTGCTCCGACCCCTTGTCCTGTTCCAATGAGAAAAACATGCCTATGCGCCGCCAGAGCGGCTGCCGCGATGTGATAAACGCAGGCTGTGAGCTTGCATTTCTGGTATCAACCCCTCTTCTTCGCTCCCTCGACGGCCAGCTGGTCCGCCGCGACGTTACCAGCATCGACAGAATGGCCCTTCACCCAGGTGAAGACCGTCTGCGTGCCCTTCTTCGCTCTCTCCTCTATCTTGACTCTCACGGCCTTGACAAGATCCTGGTTCTTGACCTCCTCGCCTGTAGACGAACGCCAGCCGTTCTTCTGCCAGTTGACGTACCACTCAGTGACGCAACTGATGCCATATTTGCTGTCAGAGAAGATCTGCACTCCTTGTGTCACCGGCACGACCTGGAGAGCGCGCAGAATAGCAGTCAGCTCGGCTCTTTGATTCGTCTGGAGCTCCCCCTTGAGGCGCTCAGAGATGTTTCTGCAGATAAGATTAATATTCATATGACAAACAAAGTTGAAACGAGTGATCTCACCTGGGGTCGTTCTTCCCAAAGAAAACGCCCACGCCAGCCACGGCGCCCTGCTTGCCATTACCCAAGCTGCTGCCGTCGGTATAGATGTTCAGGAGGGTGGCTGTAGCACCAGAAGCCGCGCCCGACCCGCCCGTCTTGATCTTCTTCGTGGACGGACCGGCCTCGACGTCGTCCGCGACGAAATACGACGAAGTGGAGGGTCCAAAGGACTGCATGAACTCCTCTGCGGCCTCTCGCGTGTCGAATTTCTTGTACTTTGGCGCCTTCACGCCCTGGTATGCTAATTGCGCCTCGGTCCATTCGGTGTAGATTCCGGGCTTCGAGCCGACCGCCACGGCGTAGAATCTCGTCGGTTTCGAGCCGGGGTTCGGGTTCTTACCGGCCACGAAGAGCTCCGCCTCGCCCCGAGTGAGAAATGACTTGTCTGTAGACACCCACAATTAGCAGGATAATCCAGGGCAGTCAGGATTCGGAGAGATACTAACAGTTGGCACCGGCAAAGCCGGCGGTGTTGGCCTGGCACTCTGCCCAGGTTAGGTAGACGCCTGGCGTTACGCCGCACCGGACGGCGTAGTACTTCTGTTGGCCTGCGTCCATCTTGCGCTTCTTCGGGTTTGCTGAGGAAGAGCTCTTCTGGACCGGGGCCTTACCCACGGCAGAGGCCTTCATTTTATTCACGGCGGGCATGGTTACTGCTATGAGTCTGAAAGGAAGCTCCTGTATCGACTCAATGGCATACTGGCCAGTAATTGGGCCACGCAGTCGTCTTTCAAGCAGAAACCCGCGACGCTGCAGGGCAAGGTAGTCTTTGTTGGCTGACTGCTGAACAGGTCCAAGCACTGGCTGCGCAAGGCAGCGCAGTCCACGGTAATTACGACGCGTAGACAGTCAGAAGAAACTCATTGTTCGACCGCGCTGTAGCGTCAGAAGCTTGCATATACTGAAAATGGTGGCTGGGCAGAACTCTATGATATCGGTGAAATCGGTACCCTTTGAGATTTGCCCACAGGCTTCCAGGGTTTCTCAGTTATCCAGACGGAGGAAACAAAAGACCGAGGAGTAGTGCTTCGTTCTGAAGACGAGGATAGTCAAGACAACAGAACCTTGGAAGGTGAGGGGTTCCACGCGGCATCCTGTGAGCTCCTGTTTTAGCTGGAGCTGCCCAGAATTGGGGGCGATAAGACCTGATAAGCTGAAGCTTTGACCCCGCGAGCTCCTTCTCTATCAATGTGCCGCAGATTGCCTCAATGCCACCGATGCGCGACATGCAAACTCGCGTTTGAGAAATGGAACACTTGCGTATTTCCTACCTACCAATGGTGGTGAATTTCTACCAAGAGCTACTTGATGCTAAGCTAGGTATCTATCATAGCCCTTCGCGCCTGTGTAAAATCACATGCCCTACGGGGATCTCCCCGGCAACAAGTAATCGCTTAACTGAATGTTAATGCTTGTTGAAGGTGTGAAAGCAAATGTTGTGATCGTCATGCCCAAAGCTGAACCGGAGGACTACCTAAGCTCCTCTACTTGTCTTCCAAACGCAGTTTCATAGTCTCATCACCCGTAGATATGTCATCAAAGTCATGCGTGTACCATCACACCAACTTGGTGAGGATGGTGGCACTTGCTGCCCTCCCATTCCCACGCTAACAAGCTCCAATTCAGCTCCCTTCGCCAGAATAGGCCAAGTCCATGTCCTCCGCCGAGTGCAGCAAGCTGAGGCTGGTCATGGCCCCGGGTTTCTGAGGTTAAGCCGCCTGTTAGGGGCATTCTTTGACAGAAAACGACCTTTCCCATGCGCGAGTGTAAGATGGCCATCGAGCACATCACACAAGGTTCGTGAGTGAGATAGAGCTCGAGGCCGTGGCACAAGTAGCCATCCGGATTAGGGTGATCAAGAGCAAAGACTTTCTGCTCTTCTTCAAGGAGCGGCTTATCCTGGAATGCCTCAAACTCGAAAATTGCTGGCTCGCCTCCTGCGTCTTCCCTCTCCTCGGCACGCACAAGCTTCTGCGCAACTTGACTAATAGCACGAAGGACCGAGTGTGCCATTGGATTTCCAGTATCGCTTTTTGAGTGGTGTTGGTGCCAGCGTGCGTCTGCTGCCAGAGCAACAATGCGAGTGGTTTCAGCTTCTCGCTGAATAATGCAAGCACCCATAGGCTCACCGAGACCGTTCTCCTTAGCCTTGTCGGCCATCTGATGTGCGAGATCCATCCAAATAGGAGCGTCTCTGCTAATTTCGTCGGTAGCGCGCGACACCATACTAGGGTGAGGACCGAGAGGGTTGTTCTTCCGATAGACGGATGGCCAGAATTGCGAAGACCACATGGCAGCCTGTACCTGAGACGTTGGAGGGAGGCTTGGAACTGGGATAGTGGCAAGAAAAACGCCATCATTCATGCCTTCAATCGTAGACAAGCCTTGAATGATCTCATCTCTAGAGAGGACAGCTTCGGGCCCAAGCATGATGTATATCCAGTTCGATTTTCCCGTGTGGATCTGTCTGCTCTGTGTATCTTCGTTCATAACTTGGAGTTTCAGATGGGCTGGGAGGTCGGAGGGCTTTGCGCATCGACGTAGGTGAGGCATGCCCTTAACAATGTCCTCAGGTAGCAGAGTACGCAAAAGTCTGAGAAACGATCTGCGTTAGCCAGGACGAAGACAAAATAGGATGATGCCCTAGGAAGGAAGATGTACTCACCCAATAACTGCATTGGCAGCCTTGACCGGCGACCGAGTCACCATCACTTCACTACAGACCTGATCGTCTCGAAGTTCGAGCGTTGTCTTGAGTGGAATAAGCACTCCGTCTTTGACCGTCTGGGGTAGCAACTGCTGAACCACAGGCTCCTGCTCGAGCACCACGGCACTGAGACGTTGATCAGCCATGGCTGCAAACCGATGGATGGGAGGCAAGGAGAAAAGTAGATGGGGTGTCGAAGGGTGCTTCGACTCAATGAAGCTCCCAAGTCAGGGAGGATGCCACACCACAACAACTAGTGATGCAGGAAGAGACCCAGGAGAGATGAAGCACAAATCGAGCGAGAACTGCCGAGGTCTCTAGACATGGCAAGCGCTCTTCTCCACGGACCGATGATAGGAAAGTGCAAGCTTCACAAAGATAGGCATCGACGAGACCATTATGGATGCTGCTTGTGTGTGTGATTAGATAGGCATGCTCCTAGAAAAGGAAGCTGCAGGGGGGAGAGATGGGATATTTGAGGAAGTCAAAGAGGGCGCGCCTGCCAGGGACAAAAGTGAGGTGTAACGTAAGAGCAGCTTTGTGTCGAGGATGGATGTGCCAAAATTTATTTCTGCCAGGAACAGCAGTCACGATGAGCCAGATCTTATCGGCCTGCAGGTACCTATCTTAGTGGGGTGTGAATTAAGCACTGTACCTTGGTAGTTAGGAACCCTATAGTCCCTGCAGAAGCAAATGTGGGGCCATCGTGGAAAGCCAACCTGCAAACATCACAGCTACAGGGGACTTTCTCTTATCAGGTCAGTGCAATCGCAGGTGTATTGGACCTGGACTTGAAGCTTGTTGGATGCGAACTTAGTGTTTCATGGCTGCATCTGGCTCTCATGTTTCCTTCATTCAGATGCCCTCAAAAGTGTGCAGAGTCATAAATTGCTCCCCTCTTCTTCCAATGGTTTGCTTTGTTTTAAACTATGTAGTCATTACTTTATTGGAACTAGTAAATAGCTGCCATACGGCGTCTCAAGCAGATCGATTCTGTCATTTGCGATCTCTTGATGAGGCTATCAACCAACTGCCTGGATTATTGACTGGACCGCTTCCAGAAGCTGCTTACCCAAACACGATGTAAAGTTCTTGTCGCTAACTGGTTGAGGTTGCAGTAGGGAGATTTCCTTCCTGCTTTCTTCAAGTATCCTGACTTTTAAGGACATCTCTAGGGTCGTATGGATAAGACACAGCGTCTTTGAAGAGGGCCAACTGATGCTTGGAATGTTTGTCGAGCGAGAAAAACAGACAAGTTACTGACTTGACAAAATAGAGCTTTCTCGCGAAAGAGAGTGCCAAGACATAGGAAACGGAGATCAGAGCGGCAAGTCTGATGGATCATAATGACAGAAAGCCCCGCTTACATCTCGGAATACAAGTCGGGCGAATTCTTGAGACAGAGGGGAGGTGTCTGGGCGTGTCTGCACCTCGAGTTTAGGCTGTCTCATTGCAGGGTGGGGGTTCAAATTTCCAACTTGCAGGAGGTGGATGGAAGTTCGGCCAACCCTATCATTGCACCGCCTAGGAAGAGGGAGTGGCAATCTACACTGGAGAAGGCCGAAAGAGCTTGCTCTTAGTTGTGCACCGGGCGTCCAATACTACGGATCTCCGGTCGAAGTCCCGGACAACCTGCTGGAGCTCCTCCAAACGCCCCGAAGGGTTTGTCCCACGTGGAGCGCCTCCTTCGTAAGCTGACAGATAAGTCATGATCCCGTGCCTGGACAAGCCCTCCAGGGAGGACGGGACGGCAACACAGCCCTCAAGACGGTGAGGATGAAGTGGAAATTACATTTCGGTGCTACTAGGCTCTTCTTCTCAGTTTGCTCTATGAAAATCCCTTGAGGCGATCATCACTCCTCGCCTGGTCATTAGCTCGCTGAAAGGCAAAAGTCCAGGCTGTAGCGATGGATTCTTGGATCCGGGAGGGACCAGGTATGGTCGCCCTAAAACTAAGTAGTTAGTAGGTGGTGCATGTACAGAGTTTGAAACGGGGGAGCGAGCGGCTGTGAATGCGCGGACATTTGTCTCAGTGCTGCTCTTGTGCCTAGCGGAACCGGCGATCGAAGCAGCGATGACATAGTGCCAGCAATCCACTGGTTAGAGGCCTGGTCGTACAGTTTGGGCAAGGATCCATCAGGGCCGTTACCGTTTTGTGTTGGTTGCAATAAACCCTGGGAGAGGTTACGTCGCAAGCTGAAAGATGCAAGCAACGAACAAGCGCTGGCTGCTGGGTGTGGAATGCCCGGATGTTAGCTTGACTCCCACTCCCACGCCCACTCACACACACTTACAGTACAGACTTACACCCCACGGCTGCCCCATGATGTAAGGTAGCCAATGATGTAGGTCTAGCGCACGTCGTGCCAGATAGATGCTGGGTTTAAAGAGCATGAATGAGACGGTAGCCAACGCGGACTGCGAGACCCACGGTTCACTCAACCTTCTTCCCGACCCTTAAAATGAATGAATAGCGAAGCCTCGCCCGCTGCCCGTGTCGCATTACCTCGCTCGATTCCAATAAGGCGCTGTATTTCACTATCGCTGTTCCGCATGTTCTGTTGACTCGCCGTGTCTCTCAACAAAACACCAACAGCAACACCCCTGATTAGCCCAAGCAGCGACCGGCAACCCAAGAGACCAAGACAGCACCATCGCGAACCTCTATGAGTCTGAGATCTCTTGACAAATCGATCCGAGACGCTCAATGTGAATTGTTGAGCTTTGCCAAGCACTGAGGCATCCGGCATCGACGGCCATCGCAATTAGCGATATCGATTTTTGGAGTGGAGGAGAGCTCCTAACAGTCCAGCTTAGTCAATTCCGGTTACGGAGAGCGGCGAACTGGTGTCCCATCTGGCTGTGGGTCCGTGTGTGTCGTCTTCGATCGCCGCCCAGAAAAAAAATAAAGGAAAGAGCGCGGGCAGGATCCACAAGGGTCGCACGCAGGAAACCCCTACTAGCGCCCTTTTACCCTCCAGCAGTGCAGCTCATTGGGCCGCTGCAGTGCGCCTCGCAAAAGCCTGGCATCTGCAAGAGTCACTGCAATCCAACATTTTCAGCGTCGTCGATTCGCCAACAACCACAAATTCCATGTCTCCTCCTGCAGCTGTCTTCAGTGCAAGGTCAAGTCACAAAACAGGTTGATACTCACCTTCTCTTTGCGATATCTTCCCTTGTAATATTTATTCACAACAATCAAGAAAGTTTGAACACAACAGCATTCACTAACTTGTGCCGCATTCAAGACACTGGTCGCCGACTCTCGCACTCGAACTCGCAATCGCAGGCGCAGTCGCAGCAATCCTCACTGGCCAAGCTCGTCATGAGCACTCAGGTCGCAGCCTCGTCACCGTCGTCCTCCTCATCGCCCAAGTCCAACCCCCAAAATGGAGAGCCCGCCCCCTCCCTAAACCCCGTCATCCACGGGCCAGATGGCCTCCTCCCACCGCCGTCGGCCCCTCCGGTGCTTGCTCACGCCTTCAAATCCTTGAGCGAGTTCGACGGTGTCGCATCCCTGCGTGAAAGGCACCCTCAACCTGCCTACGACTCACCATATGCCAGGAGCATATCTTCAACCGCCCCTGGCTCCCCGCGCATGTGAGTTGGTTCTGAACTGTTGAACCGTTACCGTTCTGGCTGTGTTGTTGAACGGCACCTCCACCTCCTACAGACAGTAACGGAGTCATTCACTTGCTGAAATGCCAAACTGGGCAGGTGGCTAATTTATCTGACAGACCTCCCCTGAGGCAGAACTCTGGCAGCCATACCCCTCGAGTCCGACCGCACGCTACCACATTGAACATCCCTGGCATGACAAGGTCGAAAGTCTCCCCTGATGGAAGAATTGCAGAGCGAGATGTGGCAGCCAAACTTGTCATTATCATGGTAGGACTACCCGCACGGGGCAAGTCGTACATCACCAAGAAGATACAACGGTATCTCTCCTGGCAGCAACATAACACTAGAATTTTCAATGTTGGCAACAGACGACGCATTGCCGCCGGCATCTCCTCTCCACAGAAACCGCACGTTTCGCAGAATAACCCAAAGGACACTCCAACACAGGCTGCCAACATTCTCCTGAATGTAGTTGCGCCCCCTCCCGTTGATGAGCCCACCACTTGGGATCTCAACGCACCCGCACAGAAAGAGAACGATAAAAATGGTGACGCCCATCACATGGACCAGTCGGCCAAATTCTTCGACCCGCAGAATGCCACGGCGTCTCAACTTCGGGAGAAAGTCGCTATTGAGACTCTAGACGAGCTCTTGGACTACTTGCTTGTGGGACACGGATCTGTTGGCATTCTCGATGCTACCAATAGTACGATCCACCGCCGCGAGCTTCTTGTGAAACGCATCAGAGAGAGAGAGCCAAAGCTTGGCATTCTCTTTGTGGAGAGCATATGTCATGACAAGGATTTACTCGAGGCAAACATGCGACTGAAGCTATCAGGTCCTGACTATAGGGACAAGGACCCAGTCAAGTCTCTGGAGGACTTCAAAAAGCGTGTAGAAGCCTACCAGAGTGCCTATGTACCTCTGGGACAGTACGAGGAAGATCATGATCTGCAATATATACAGATCATCGATGTTGGGCGCAAGGTCATCCACCATAGGTTGAAGGGTTTCCTGAGTGGCGGGATTGCTTCCTACCTTACCACGTTCAACCTGTCCCCCCGACAGATCTGGATCACGAGACATGGACAAAGCGTCGATAATCAGCTTGGAAAACTAGGTGGCGACTCTCCCTTGACCGAGCGCGGTCATTGCTTCGGCCAGGCCTTGTACCACTTCATGACCCAGAAGCGTCAAGAGTGGCTGGTCGAGCAGAAGAACAAGATTGCGCAGTCAACATTCCCACCCAAAGCCGGCGATCATACTCCTCCCTATCCTGAGAGGAATTTAGAGTTAGATGAGAAGAACTTCTGCGTTTGGACATCTATGCTGAAAAGAAGCATTGAGACTGCGGAATATTTCGATGCCGACGATGATTATGATGTCAAGAACTGGGAGATGTTGAATGAGCTGAATGCCGGTCAGTTTGAGGGCATGACATATGAGGAGATTGCGCAGAAATTTCCCGAGGAGTATCAGAAGCGTACTTCGGACAAGCTCCACTACATCTACCCCGGTGTTGGTGGCGAAGGCTACCTCCAGGTGATCAGTCGCCTTCGAGATATGGTCCGTGAGATTGAGCGCATCACAGATCATGTCTTGATCATCGGCCACCGATCCATCTGCAGAGTTTTGATGGCTTATTTCATGGATCTGACCAGAGACGACATCGCCGAACTTGATGTGCCTCTTGGCATGTTGTATGCCATCGAGCCGAAGCCATACGGCTACGCTTTCCACGCATACAAATACAACGAACCTAATGGCTCGTTCGATGAGCTGCCGAACTACAAACCGCAGAAGACGACGGACAGAAACAACTAACGAGTGAGAGCCAGTCACTGGCTACGGTATATGAATGAACCCCTAATGTACATATATTTTCTTTGGACGATTTGGCGTAATGGAACGAAGCGGACGCTCTGCAGCCAGTGGCAACTGGTACAAGGAGTGGTCGGCGTATGAGCGGCTTGCAGGATCCATTAGACGGATTGCAATTCTTGGCTTCGAGCATGTCATGGCAATAGACGGCAGGCATCCTTTTTAAACCAGACCAAATCGGTTTGGCATCTTTTGTCGGAGTTAAGGCTATATGTACCTCAACCAATTTCGCCTCCAAGGAGGTTCCTTTTTTGCTTAGCTAGCATGGCGTTTGCTCACTTAGATGGCAAGGCAAAGGTCAGAAAAAAGTTGAATCATGAAAAACAATTTCACCGAACACAGGCTCCTACCCAGAAGCATCTCGACCTTTGTAAGGCTATGATAATACAAGCTTCTTGCTTCCTTGATGGATGATCACTATGGAGACAGGATTATGAAATCCTTTATTACCAATAAGTCTGTTTCAACGCCATCCTCTAGCGGCTACTCTGCCACGGTGAAGTTGAAGCTTCCTGGGCCAAAGCCATGAAACGAGCTTGTCTTGGGCGCCGAGACAAACTACTGCGCGTTGCTGACGCAGCAGCCATTGCCTAAATTTCAGCAGATGAGGACCCTGCGCTAAGTGGAAGCTTGAGATCCTAGCTGCGGAGTTAGCGCGATGACCTCTTATCGGTAGGAAGCTGGCGCCGGCATCTACAATACGAGACCAATGCGAAAGCCCAATTGCCTTCATGGCGCATTTGTGGTTTGTCTTTGGCGATTTCCATATCTTCTACCCTTTTCCCACAAAACCCCATCTTCAGCCTCGTTTATTCTGTTTATTACCGTGGTAAGAGGCCAGTGACTTGGATATCTCAACTCGAACACGCGTTTATTACGATATACAGCTCCATTTTTACGGTTATTACCTGAACCGCCAACGTTACTTACTACTTCCTACCATACCTGTCTACCTGTGTAGTGACTGTAGCTGGAGAGTCACCACCAGTATCCAGCGACGCTGTCGTTCTCGTGTACAGTCAACAACGAAATCTGAGCTATCTAGCCTACTGGCACTTTCCGACTGCTTGCCCTCATAGCGTGGGCTACACCAGCTCTTTTTTTCTGGCACACGCGAGGTTGCATCTCGATGGCCCGATCACAACGAGAAGACTCAGCCACGCCGGTCCGCACAACCAGTGGGAACTCGACGTATCGGCGGCGGCGGCCCTCCGAATTCCAGCTGCCGGACGGGCGTAAAATCCTCGTCGCGCTGCCCGAGGAGGCGGAAGCACTCCGCACCAAATACTCGTCCGCGGCTGCGGCCAGCGGCGAGACGCTGCAGACCGAGGTCGTGGTCCACGGGTCAGCCGAGCACCAGCGCTTCCTGCAGCTGGCACACGCGCACCATGAGCTACGCCGCGCCGAGCTGCGTGCCCGCCACGGCAGCGACTTTGAGGAGTGGGAGAACGTCAGCTCCCAGCTGGATGCTGTGACGGCGCAGCTCGAGAGCATTGCGGATCACAGCGCGAGCCTGAAGGAGAACTTCAGCAAGTTCGGCTACGATGCGAGGCTACGAACGTACGGCGACGAGAAGGGCGGCGGCGGAAGCGGCGCAGGAAGTTCAAGTGCCAGCTTGAATGAGGAAAAGGTTGACTGGAATGAGCGTCGGAGCGCAGATATGATCAAGCTATTCAAGAAACCCGTCATCAAGCAATACTTTCATCGAGGTCTCCTGTGGAGATCCAGTGATGAGACCTCAGTTTTATCTTTTGAGCTCTTCTTTGACCTTCTCTACGGTAAGCTTTCTCGTACCTTGCTCGACGTTGAGGCATTGGCAGAAGCCTAGGAACTGATATAATCTGGATAGTCGGGATTATTGCTATAAATGGTGATCACGTTTCTGAAGAGCCAAATGGCCACGAGTTGTTGCGATTCGTGGTGACATTTTGCATGAGTTGGAAGATCTGGTCAGACGTGGCAATGCTTATCAGCTGGTTCGAGACAAATGATATCCTTCAAAGAGTGGAGATTCTGTTTCTCATCGCCTGTCTTCTTGGGTGAGCATCACCATGATCAGGCATTCCCTGCTCCCAAATGTTGCTAACATAGATATTGCCAGACTCACCACAAATATGCTGCAAACATTCAACGAAGAGCATGACACATATGTCCAACTCACGGGATTCTATCTCACTTCTAGATTATTCATGGCAGCATACTGTGCGCTGACAGCCTTTCTTCTGCCACTGGTAAAGGGCATGATGATGGCCCAAATTGGGCTATTAGTACTGGGCTCCGTTCTCTGGATAGGTAGCACCCAAGTCGAGATGCCCGGGCGCCTGGGCCTTGTCTTCGCCGCCTTATTTATTGACTTTTGCGGAAGTACTGTATATGTGTCGCTCTTCAGATACGCTCGAAACCATGACAACAAGACAGCTAAGAGAATTGGCAAATTCTTTGAGTTCTATCCTGCAATCAATATCGAGCACAAGGTGGAGCGCACCAATGCGTTCGTCTCACTAGTTCTTGGATACGGGGTGGTCGGCCTCATCTATCAAAATGCGGGAAACTTTGCTCTGAACGCCTTCTTGGGCAAGGCAGTTCTAGGCTTAGTTCAATCGTTCATCTTTAACTGGATATATTTCGAGGTTGATGGGGATAACCTACATCTTCATGCTATTAGACGACATGCTAATACCGGTAAGTTTACACTCGGCCATATCAATGTGTTTATTACCACTGACGAGCACCTCAGCTTTCCTATGGCAGTTCTCACACCTCTTCTTCATCATGGCCTATATTGTCTCGGCTGCTGGCCTCTCCAAGCTAGTTGTTGCCACTGACTGCGCTGACGCACCCGTCGATACGCTCACCGAATTCTACATGGAGAAAGCAGAGCATGAGATCGCCCTGGGAATCCGTCTCTTCTATTGCGTTGGACTGGGAGTCGCACTGTTCTGCATGGGTCTCATCAACTTTTCTCATGAGCACAAGATCCCACCGTATTGTCGCGTGCCGCGCTGGATTCGACTCTGTAATCGTGCCGCCGTCTGTGCCATTTTCTGCTGCCTGCCTGCTGCAGAGAACCTAAACAGCCTGGATCTCATCTCCATCACAACTGCGCTGACTGCGTGGGTCCTCATACTCGAGCTTTTCGGTAAGAGCTCCAAAGGCGATAGCCTCTTCGGCGACGATACAAAGTGCCGATATACTGCACAATGTAGCAAGAAGGATCTGGAGAAGGCCATGAAGACCGATGGCGAAGTCGATGTCATGGAATTGGGCAGGCGCGAGAAGACTGCTGTGCCAGCTGGTGTTGAATAGATTGTAGTCTCTCTCTCTCTATATATATATATATGTGTGTGTCCTTGATAGCATCAGAACTATTTAAACATATACCTTACTCGAGGGCGAGTCGTATCAGAAAGCAATAAATGGATCCAATCAGCTGCCCTTCCCAAAAGGATCAAAGAAATAATATAAGGCTTGTTTCTAGTCCTCCAACCGGGGCAACAATTGTTAGTCTCTTGAAAGGATCACGGTACTGAGCTACAAGCGCCATGATACTAACTTAATGCCTTATAGATTCTGATTATTCATTACCACGTCGATCAATATGTTTATTACTATGTTTACTACTAAAGTTCACAACAATGGCACTCCCTTACTGAAAAGGTCATGAGATTCCTGAAGAACTGATGTTTTTTACCTTGGCGGAATGGTATACTCAAATATTGAGTCCTGGTGAAGAGATATAGTATTGTTATTATTAGAAACCCTAAAAGGAGATTGCTAACAAGAGGATATCATCATGAATCTAAACTCTATGACCTAGCGGTCCAACTCTATCACGCAGACTCCAGCTATTCGACCCGAGACCAAAAGAAAAACAAGAGAGGGTTCAGCCGTATTTCTATTATCACGCTGCTCCCGCCGCAGCCGCCATGATAGCCATTTGCTGCATCCTTCGCCGATCGACTTCTTTCTTGAGCATCCCAATGCAGGTCGTGACAGCCATTAAACGCACCATCTCGGCATCCTCCTTGCCATCCTGCCATAGACTCAGGTCCACCCGTAGGCGGCCCCCATTGCCGGCACTGCTACCTCGACTTCCCGGGGTACGCAACTCGGCATTTCGCAGGAACTGCGCAACGGGTGTGCGGATCTCCTCCTCCTTGTCCTTGGCATTTGGTGCTGTAGCGCTGTTGAACACGCGCACGACCCGGTCAAGAACGAGCAGTGAGTCGATGCCCGCGGCCTTGCGTTCCTTCCGGGAGGCGTACCGCCACTCGAAGGTGCCGAGCCGCGTTCGAAACCTTATTGCACGGGTCGTGAAACCCCGTGATGTGAGCTCAAAGGAATCCCATGCTACGGCCTCTACGTCCTCTTCTTCCTCGTCTGCGCTGCTCCGGCTGCTGCGAGCCCCGCCTTGCACAGGGGGTCCTGAGGATGGGGGAAGCAGACTGACGCGAGGTGGTTTTCCGGGACCCCAGCGGTATGAGGTCGTGCTCAGGTGCTTCTGCTCCGCGTCGTCTCCGGCGACAAGGACGCAGGAACTTGCCCCCCTTGAGCGCCGTAGCGAGAAGTACACCGGCGTTTGGCTGTCCAAGACTGTGCCGTCCGAGCCTACTGCATACACGGGGATGGGGTCGGGACGAGTGGGAATCGGGAACGATAGTGCGGCCTTTCCAAGAGTCTGAATTTGGAGCTGTACAGTGGGGGTAAAGCGGAGGCCATCGCTATACGCTGGCGGCTCGCTTTCGGTGTGGATATTGTTCAGGGATGCGATGGAGGAACGCCCGTCCCAGGAGGCAAGCTCGAAATCGGTATCTTTAGTATGGTGGGTTGACAGAGACGGCGCAATCCCAGAGGTAATTGACCCGTTGGCCAAAGGAGAATATAACTTGGCGGGCATTGTTGTCTTGGGCAAGGCTTCTGTTCAATCTAATTGTGAAGATTTGTCTGACTGGTCTCTGTTGACTACTGTGTTGGAAATATTCCATGGCTGGGAAATGGACATGATTGCGTGCATCTTATATCTCTTCGGGCTCTAATACATTGAAGTCTATACTGCCTCTTCGGTCTTGATACGATTGATACGGTTTGCCCTTGGCGCTTTGGCAGTGCTAGTGAGGCTTGAAGATACCTCCGCACTTTCACCAATAAGCTTAAATTTAGTGGGTCCCACATCCCTGTGAGCATCCTTTTGGTTGCCTCTTTCGTATTCGTCGTGATTTCTGTTGTGGCTGTGTGGAGCAACTGCAAAAACCACCAATTCGACTAATACAGGATACTTCAACAGTAACAGGCATCGTCGTCTCCAAATCAATGAGTCCCAGTGTTTTCATTTCGCCTATTTGCTTGCTACTCTTTTCAGGCGGTACGCACAAGGACTTCTCGACACCCTTCAAAAACTTTCATCCTCACACGATTCTACAAACTCATTAAACTACGTTTGTAGTGGCTATTTACACATCAGTCCAGCAGGCTACAGCTGATTCCTTTTGGATTTTTTTACACCTTCAACTACTTGCTCAGAGGCGCTATCGCAGACCAGAACTAGAAGCTGCCGACTCAAGGAAGCTGGTCGCGCAATAATTTGGAAATACCTGTCAAGTTGTCTCCTGTAGTGGTCGCGTTGATTACCTCCCCGATAGGTGTTGCTTACCCTAGATTCCATGTTCTCTACTTCACATATAGCGGTACTTACCGGTACTACCGTAGTGAGTTTATACTGTTATATAGATATTGGCTTCTGGGAACCGTATGGCTCAGTTCACAGTGATTTTCTCCGCAATTATTGGTGCAAAGGTCGTAAATTGGAAGGATATAGTATATGCTTTGTAAACTTATGACTTGTTACCAGCACCTTGCGAGACCGCACTTCATTGGTCATCAGAACCGTGGGCTATCCCCTGCAGCCGGGCAAGAATGAATCCGGGGGCACGGCAGCGGTGCCTGGCCGGCCTAAGTCTGACAGGCTGAGGTCCGGTCCGCGTCATTGACAAAAAGTGGCTGGATGGCTGAGCATTGAAAGTTGCGTTGCCTTCGGGCTGTGTTCAGATAACGTCGCGAAATTCACGTCGCCGCAAGTGTCTCCTAACCTTCGCTTACCTAGCCTACATAGGTAGTGGGAGATGATGGTACTCATCGGTTGAGCCGACATAGCCCGGTTCAAGGCGTGAAAGGTTCTCAGCACGTCAACGAATCATCTTGGTACTTCAGACTCAGGTGTTATTCTACATTCCCTTTTCAATCAATATACTATGGTATCAAGTAAAGACAAAGATCACCTATGGCTAATATCAACCGAGTTTAATTGAGAGCAAACCCAATGATCCAACCGAACTATCTCTAATGCGCTCTCCTCCCGAAGAAGCCCCTATCTCGATCCAATTGTTGTTCCACCCACATCGGCCACTGGTTATACGGCAGAAACTCGAGGTCAAGGCGACGATTGAGCCACTTCAGCCACCTGATTATGCCCAAATCAATACCCCTGTCCTGGTTTGGCCGCTTCCCAAACTCGTGCTCTGTCTCAGTGATGGTCGCCATGATCTGCTTGATTGCAATCCAATGCGATGCAAGTAGGACCATGACGGGGTTGTGCGTGTCAATGACCCTCTGGAAGTCATCGTATGGGAGCATCATCCACCAGCCGTAGTGGTCGCTTATTGACTTGTATGCTAAGTCGACGGCATATCAGCAATCACTCTCCTCATGCGCAGATGTATTCTTCCTGATCGAGCACTCACCTCCAAATGATGACTGATACAGCTGCGTGATCATCACTAGTAGTAATTCATGGTATTTCTTTGCAACTGGTTCCGTACAGATTGGACCGAGGGATTGGACCGCAGTAGCCGCGGAGTCCACCCAGTCTCTGTTTACGAGGGGTATTTTTTCGAGTTTCGGTTTCATAAGGGCCTTCTGGTCCTCACCGATCCAGTTCGTAAAGAGAAACTTGGCCCCTTTCTGGTACATTTGGGTCGCGACGATCATGATGCCACGGATAAACGTCATGTATTCGGCCATGCCATCGTCTAGTATGACGGACTGGAATGTGAGCGCAAAGCATGTGGCCATGAGCGCATTTCCTTCCTCGAAGGTGTTGGCTCGGGAAGCGTCCGCCAGCGTCTTCTTGATTGCTTTGATCGCCTTGAGCCGGTGCGTCATGGCCGCCGTTACAAGGCTGGGATCATCGTCGATCAGCTCTGATGCTGCAAGTCCCAGGATTGCATGCATCAGGTACTCGTACTGTGTGCCAAGTAAGTTGGTGAATTCCTACAATTATGTTCTCGTTGTGACCCACATTTTGAGACAGACATGGTATTTCGTGTGTCCAGATGCTTTCGTTGCCGAGAGGATAGTGTGGATAGCATTTCATCAGGAAATGTTGAAAGAATCGCATGTCCTGCAGACTGAAGAGAGGTATTTGGTGAGACGGCTAAAGAAGTATCCGTGTAAGCCAAACAAGTTCTTCGCTTGTTTGACTTGGCTCTTACCTGATGATTTACTTGAGGTGTCGTAGGATATTCGCATTTGAGACCAGTCTTCACGCAATGTCCACATGCCGGTCTGGTTTCTTGGCACTGACCTCTCCTATCAGAGATGGATGTTCAGGGTTGTGAGGTGTAATGGCAGGCTTCATACCTTGATTCTCCTACGCTTGCAGTTGAAACATCCCCTTCTACTTTTCGTATGTCCTCTCCTCTCCAATCTCTGTTTTGGCGGAGACCCACTCGATGCACCAGAGGCGCTATCATTCCTTATGATTGTCAATGTGGATTGAGGCGTGATGGTCTGTATAGAGGTGTCTGTCAATCTGTTTGTTGTCGTTGAATTAGAGCTATCCTCGGCCATATAATCCGGGTCGTCCTCTTGAAGAAAGGCTCCGTAATCGAAATCTCCAGGATCACCGACCGCTGGAAGAAGAGAGAAGTCTGGCTGCCCATATCCTATTGACGTCACAGGCAAATCCATGTCGGTTCCCTTCTTCGTGGTCTTTGGAATTGAAATGAATTGGGCGTGTTCTAAAGGTCGTGAGTTTTGTTGCATTAGAAGTTTGATGAAAGAAATGATGCCCGGACTAGGCATACAGGTACTTGACCACTCATTACATATCACGGAACTCTGAACGATCACAACATTGGAACGTGCCAAAGGTTTGAACTTGGTTGAAGTTAAGCCCCCAAAAGCGTCACGTGTGGCCTGGCGATCACTGAGCCCGGCGATGCCAAGAGATTCTCGGTAGGGTGGCAGTGCTAATAATATTCTGCCTGGTTATGTGTCTAGGGTGTCTTTTAGTGTTTCTAGCAGTATCATTGGACCCCAAATGTTACACCAACGGTTAGCTGAACTGCAGTTGCTCACAGCGCCATCTTAACGTTGCGATGACCTGATTTACACCAGCTTGAGAACAGGCTAAGCCATGATTGGCCTTATGCCGCGAATGCTGTTAATTGACGACTTTACGATACATCGTCAAATGACGCCGTGGCTATATCATCCCACATGGATGGATGGATGGCGACGAATTGCCAATTCTGTCTTCCAGAATGACCCTGCTACACGGCGCATGGCCGTTGGCGGGCAAAAAAGCGCCACCACAGCTTGCGTGCGCAATTGCTCTCTTCATTACCATTCCCAAGAAACCGATGGCAGGCCCTGGCATGAGCGATGGGGAGATGATTCACACGGTCTCAGCGGCCGACGTGATTCGCTCACGGGGTGGCTTTGCCGGGGCGCCAAGTCTTGTAAGTCGGATAATATATCACGCCGAGGTCGATATCGACAGGTACGTGTTCTGCATATGAACGACCTCAACCAAACGCCCGGCGGCAGTGTCCACGTCCATATGGGGAAATCGAGGTCAAAATATCATTGGCACAGGTCCGGCAGTTTGTGTCAGCCGCGCCTTGTGCACGTTTTCCGTGACTCCACGCACGGCATTCCGGCAGACGGACCCGGAGCAACCCGGGAGACACTAAATGGCTCATATCGCACCGGTATGTAGCTGCTTCATGCTCAATGAGCACGGTGCCTCCTCGTCGTAGAAACTGTCTATGACAAATTGGCTTTGCAATGAAAAATCTTTTGCCAAGATTCAGCTAGATCAGAAAGGAACCGACAGTGACCTGGGTACTTGCCAGGATAACAGACCCAACTTTGGGCATCTCATCGAAGTATGGATCGCGATATCTAGCATATAGACCACTTGCTTCGTACAAGGTCTCACTGGTGTTACCTGCTCGTTGCACTAGGATTTCTCATTGTGACGATGTTCTCCACGTCAAGTACACATAGCAAGCTCATCCATCGTATTTCTTGACGTCAAGGTAAGTCGGCGATTAAGCTGCGGCATGATGAGTATGGAACTGTAATTTGAGGTTTTCAGTCTTCGGCGCACCTTGTTGAGATTAGGAACTGTAAATAAAGCAATGACTCTTTTGCTATAACTTCCAAGTCATAGTCTCATGAATGAATCATATTGATACAGCACAACAGCGACACAAGCGCTCTAATAAAGCATTAGCTTCGTTGAAATGGCAGAGAACCAGGGAATTGAATAAACTGAGAAGATGTCGTCTTTTCTGTACTATCGTGGATGAAGTACTATACAGGAGAAAATAAAGCACAGAATAAGCTATCACCTGCTCCATGCAATGCAGTGAGATAGATCGAGTCAAGTGAGCTTGGTAGGCTTCAGCTTGAAGACTCTTTACCACGTTTGCAATCACATCCGAACATATCCCCAAGATGCACGCCCAAAATGATCCTTTATGCTGAAGTCATGATCAGTTCTTGCAGCGGCACATGTAGGTTGGAGAAGCAGAATTAGGATCTAGCAGGTAGCAGTAAAGACACACACGCTTGTGCATTATCAACGGTCACAGCACTAACCGAGACTTCGAGCCATAGAACACAGCCATCTGTATTCGAGCTCACGCTCAGCGGCAGCAGATTCTGCCGACCAGCAGACCCGGCGCCGGGCTTGGCATACCGATACTTGTTCGACGGCAAGGAAACTTTTCAACCCGGGTCCGCAGAAGGGCCGCGATGAAAACGAAGCGGAAGCAAGCTGAAGGACACGCCAGCGCAATGGATGGAGCTGAGCAGCCACTTGAAAAACGATCGTGCTTCAGATCGAGACAATCTGCAGACAAGCTTTTCAAGTCCCGAAGCCAGAGACCAACGAGGCAATGAATGAGCACATCTCCTGCAGAGTGTTGCGTGGGTGCACTCCTAGTTGTGCGTCTTTAATCTCGCTTACTGTTTCAGAGCAGGGGATGGGCTGCCGAGAGGCGAAGCGCAGGGGTCGAGCACTGGTCATGAAAATGCTCCCCCGGCGCTGGCTGCTGGTGAGATCTGACGGGCGTCTAAACCAAACAAAGCCAAGGCGCCTGCAAGGGAAGAAAAAAGGTGAGCGCGACAAGGGTCCTACTGGCTGGGCGAGGTCCCAGTCGTTCTTTTTGGTTGTGTGTTTTGCTCCCATAGTGGCGTTGTCGCTAGCGGTTGGGAGCACCGCAAGAGTGGCCGTCCCCTGTGCAAAATGGACACGGACCCGCGCGCCATTGTCTGTGGGTCACAGAGGTCAGAGGGCGGCACGGCGACGCCTTTCCTCTTTGTCCTGGTCCCCCGAAACGGCGCCGCCCGCCCCAGCGCTACAATGTGGACCGTTAGGAACTCCCAGTCGTGTAGAGTACGCAGTAAGTACAGTATGGCAAAGAACAGTATAGGTGCCCAGACTTTGGTGGACACTCTCCAGAGCTCGAAAAGACTCTGCTAAGTCTAGACTCTGTGGACCGGGTCAGACTGGTCAGACTCATGGCAGTTGTGATTTTGCCATATTACTGCGTACACAGCCATTCTGGCTGTCGAAATGCCCGATAAGCAGCCTATCTTCGGTTCGGCATGCATGTCCACGGGCTGAGATGCCGGCAAAATTTGTGAGAAGGTAGAAACAGACCGTCAGCAACAAAGATAGTAAGGAGGATCGGGAATCGAACGGACGGGCGGCTGGACAGGACGCAGCTGACGGGCAACCTGAGAATACACAGTAGGTGTGACAAGTATCTCTAATAATTGCTTTGGTAGGGATTTCCATAATTGGCTTTAGTGAACGCGTAACACAAACAAGCTCGGGGAGACATGAGCAGGCGATTCGTCGAAAACGAAAACCTGTGTTTGCCCTCCTTCACCTTGCTTGGAGAGAGGGGTTCCTGCTTTTTTTGTGGCCTTGTGCCTGGTTCCTGCATCTCAACTGCAGTTCGAGAGTGGGGCCCGTGTGCCAGGCGGTTCCTGGTGCAGAGGGGGAAAACGACCAGCGACTAAGCGGCAATTTGGAAGGTGGATGACAACTTGACAACTTGGTCTACCGGTACCCGCCTCCTCAGATACCTGCCATAGTATGTTCTGACCAAGTGACAAACACGAGCGGCTGTTTAGAATAATGTTCTGTCTTGTTCTACCCATCTCGTCACCGCAGCCAGCAAACCTCAAGTCGTGATTCGTGAGACGGTGGGCCTTGGCCGGCGACGTGGTCTGTTTGTATTGAAGGAAACGAAACAGCCACAGGAGGGAGCAGAACAGGGAAATGGTGCAGCAAGGAGATGGCACAACGTGGACACAGGGGCGCACTATTGAGAACTGCTACACTGAGGACAGGCGGTACGTGTGCAGATAGATGTATGGCTGTACACGACAAGAGAGTAGGTTAGGTACCTAAGGTATAGGTAGGTAGATAGTGACCCCCTGCATCTATCAAGCTGCCCTTTTTTTCCTTTCACGTCCTATGCAAGCCACGAGAATGCGATCGGAGGCGAGTTAGTGACTTATCGCCTTGCTGTGAGAAGAAGCAAGAAGGGCTGTTAGCCGGACATGCCAGGAAGGGTACCGCTTCCACTTTCACGGGCTCGACAGGGTTGATAGGCATAGGAGCCAGCTGGTGTGCTCCACGTCTGTTGTTTTTAGCGTCGTGTAGCCTGCGGGTCCCTCCTTGCGCCTTTTCCCGAGCCCCTGGATGATCCTCTTGGTACCTGGCACTAGCCTCATTTGGACCTGCTTGGCCATCCCATGTTTCTTGCTCCTTCCCTGACGCCCTGGACCTCCTGCCCTGGCTCGAGCCTGGTCTGCTGGGGGGAGCCAGACCCGGATCGCTGCCCCGTCCTTCATAAGATGATTCCCTCTCCACCCCCTCCTCCCTCGTCGGTCGCCCCTGCCTTGCTTTGAGATTTCCACTCCTTCACTTACCTTTACCTTACGACCGGGCCAGGGCTTCGTGTTTACTCTCACCTTCCACCTTGCACCTTCCTTTCCACCCCTTCCCACGTCTAGCACGTACGTTCTTTCCCTCAAACAAACAAAAAGGTCGGCCAGCCTCGACCGCCACGCGTTGTGTGTCTCCATCCACAATTTTCCAAGCACGCATCACTCTTTCTGCGTCTTTGACAGACCGCGCTCATTTTTGATCTGGTTGATTTGGTGAACTCGGCTTGCCCAACCCACCCCAAACCCGTTTTCGACTAACTTGGACGACTGCGCTCCGCAACATACGTCTACCTCTGCGTCAACCCACTCTCCCCAGTGGACAAAGCATCAACGGCCGTGTATTACGTGGCTGTCATTCCTTCATTTCTCCTGTGGTATCTCAAGATATCCGCTCCGGACTTTCTTTGATCTGCTGGCGCAGCACACTCCTTTCTCAAGCAAAACCCACCCTTTCAGTAGTGGATATCAACAACAAAGCATATCCCAGGACAGGACCTAACAAAGCATCTGGTACTCGAGTCCGCAACAACAATTAAGAGTTCAGAACATCTGACGGCGACGACTTGGGTGGTGGTTTGGATATCTGCATCTTGGAGAGCCCATCCGCATCGAGCTACTTTTGTTAACAAACGACAACATGCTTTCTAAGACTTCCATCGCTCTTCTGGCTTCGGCCGTTCTCGCCAACGGCGTGGTGGCTGTGGACCTTCACCACCGCCATGCTCACCAGCACCTTCACGAGAAGAAGGCCGTCTATTATCTCAAGACGGAGATCGAGGTCGTGACTGAGTGGGTCACCGTCACATACGACCCAAATGCTCCGGTTTCCATGTTCGCTCCCGGCCAGCATTCTGAGAAGGTTATCTCTACCAGCTCTACTTCTACTTCCTCCTCTTCCTCTACCTCTTCCACAACTTCCACAACTCCCACTTCGACCTCGACTTCATCCATCTTCGTTGCCCCTGTGCCGACGACTTTGGTTACCAGCAGCGCAGCTCCAGCCCCAGCCGCCGAGACTCCTGAAATTAACATCCAGGTTGCGGCGTCGGTCGAGGTTGCTGTGACTACTCCTGCCGCTGCTGCCGTAGTCTCAACTCCGGCTGCTGAGGCTGAGCCTGCCACCACCACCACGGCAGCTGTTGCTGTTTCGAACAGCGGCAAGCGTGGCTTCGCCTACAATGACGCTACCCTCGCAGCTCCTCTTCTGGGCGGCAAGGTCAAGTGGGGTTACAACTGGGGCCAGAGCCGTGATGGCTTGGACGACGACTTGGAGTACGTTCCCATGCTCTGGGGACCTGCCAGTGATCATTCGTCTACCTGGTCTGCCAATGCCAAGAAGGCCATCGCAGCAGGCTCGACCAATCTCCTGAGCTTCAACGAGTGCGACAACATTGGTCAGGCCAACATCTCGCCTTCCCAGGCCGCTGCGGACCACATCACCTACATGAACCCGTTCTCAGGTCAGGCACGTATCGGCTCCCCGGCTATCACCAACAGCGGCGCCGACGGTGAAGGCATCAGCTGGCTCAACTCCTGGATCGAGGCTTGCAACGGCAAGTGCGCTTTCGACTTCTGCGCATTCCACTGGTACAGCCCAGCTGATCCCAAGGAGTTCCTTGAGCACGCCACCAAGGTTCACGAGGCTTGCGATAACAAGCCCGTTTGGCTGACTGAGTTTGCGCCTTTCGGCGATGACGACACGATCAACGACTTCCTCCTCGAGGTCATGGACCAGATGGACAACAACGCCACCTACTCCTTCATCGAGCGTTACTCCTTCTTCATGCTGAGTGACGGCTCCCTCGTCAACGGTGGCGCGGCCAGCGTGTACGGCAAGTCGTATGCCTTCTCTTGAGCAATCCTTTCGCATTTTCGAAAAGATATCAGCATCATCTTCTTACGTTCGCTTGTATCAACCTTTGTGACTAGAGGAGCTTCACTTCTCTGTCAAGACATTTGATGGACCGGTTCAATTCTTGTACATAGTAAACTTTCAATTCATTCTCAGGCACATTTGCACACATTCTAGGGGGCTTGTTACACACTGGACACACAGACACACCCTGTAGGTATAGAAAAGGGACATGCACAATGAACAGCAGGGGGTTCTGGCATAGAATTTACATGAGATCATGACACTTTATAACCTTGAACCTGTACGGGATTGTCTCTGAACCTTGTGCCTGTCATCTCAGATTATCGACATCGCGAGTCCTTGTGTCCAATTGACGATTTAATCTGGCGTTCAAGAAGTGCTTATAGCAACAGATCTAACATCATCACAGCCAGTGGAGTGTCGGGATCATACCAGGACTAAGCCATGCTCGAATTGATTGTATTAATATAATTCAAGAGGACAATAAAATGTGGACATCTATTGTCAGGTGTCATTGCTTTTCCAGTCATTACGGCCACCTGGTGACGAATACCTGGCCCACTGGCTTTATTTAACTCATTAAACTATAATAACTCAAACCCCTTTTCTTTCACAGAACACTGGCAGAGTAGTTCAATGTATGATACCATGTGTCTTTCCGCTAATGCGCACTGCCCCTCACTAATGGGGTACCGCAGGGAATGGTCGAGATGTCTCGTCTCGTCTCCTCAGGACTGAGCCAGGGCTGGTCGGTTGCTTGTCCGTATGATACCCGTGTTCCTTTTACAGCTCGAACCTATCTAGTATCTCGTCCTTGATAGCGGTCCGAGTTGATCTGAAGGAACCGTTGAAGGTATTGCATAAGATAGGTATTTGCGTAAATTCTCTAGATGGTCGAATTCCGTTAGACGCAACCGAAGCCATCAATTCCCAGTATTGATCGTGCCGCACGAGCCGAAATGCTGGCGAGTCTCTCTGCTTCTGAGAACATATGTAGGTCGAGGAGCCTGCTCGAGCATAGGCCGCGCTGCCTCTGATGCTTGCTTTGGGCACAGCCGCCTCTCATTCCTCGAAATTTCTCTTATATTCTGTGATGTGTTTCCCAGCCGAAATGTATCGCTTTTTCTCACCCAAGTGCGGATCACCGACTCGATGATGATGAGGGCATAACCGCATTCGGAGGTCGAGTCGGCAAGGATTCAGTATACTGAGCAGTCTTCCCCGAGAGACCTGCCGTGCTAGGCGTCTCAGATGATCCATCGCCAGCGTCCAGCCTCGACAGCGAGAGGCCGTCCTCAGACGGCAGCCTGTCGAGCGACACGTCCATCAGGTCGTCGTCCAGGGCCGACTTGCTGCCGCTGTTTCCGTCCGCTCTTGCTACCACCCCGGACGCCTCCCGCCCCCTATTGTCGAACTCATCCCGGGCGTAGTTCTGGTAGCAGCTGTTCTCGGTCCTCGAGCCGGCGGCAATGTGGTCCCTCGACGTGACCCAGTGGATCATGATGGCGGAGAAGAGGACTGATGAGGACAGGACAGGTTAAGCCACAACTTCTCTTTGGGAAATACGCAACGCTTTATTTGATGGGAACTTACTGTCGCTGTTGCAGCATATGAGACAAACCCATCCTTGCTCACCGTTGAGGACCATGAGCACTGTCAGATTCCTACGTGTGATTCGTTAGTGAACAAGTCGGTTTGTTATGGTCAGTAGAGCCCGTACACGATACTGCTAACAAGAGTACACAGGGATCCAATCAGTGTCCGCCTCGCGATCGACCGCAGTCTGGTACTTGCTGGCATCTTTTGCTTTGGGTGCTTGAAGGAGTAGAGGCCTGGCGCCGTTAGTCGTGAACTAATTGGCGACACCGAGGACATGATGAATATACCAGATAAGGGGATCAGAAATAGGATGGTAAGGTAAACCTATTCGGTATGTTAGCGAACAGCCCGTGGTCGAAGAACGTCCAGGGATATGATATCTTACATTGACCAGGAGATCAAAAGCAATAAGTGGGATCATCACTTGTTTCCTCATCCCGATAATGCACGTTCCATTGTCTAACCGTACGATGCGACTGTTACGATGCTTTGATGAGTATGTGGACCAGGAATACGGCGGACATGAGGTGACATACAAAATGAAATTCAGTACGACAATAACGATATATAGTCCTGCGCCGTCGTTAGTGACTGACTGCCTTGCAAGGAAAGTTCTGGCCAAAGCCCACCTATCATGCCGAACGAGTTGAAAAGGTATAACTTCGACTTCATTCTACTCTTCGGGGTCCCGCGGATAATATGCTGTTATGGCAGTGAGTCTCGTAGTCTGATGTAATTGCTTAGCGTCCGCTTACAGCCTTTTCCACCAGGAAGAGATATATAAGCTACAACAAGCGATCAGTGACCATCGAAGACAGTATGGCGCTCAGGAGTGTATCATACGAGCTGCAGCAGGACGTTAGCACCCTAGACAGCGTAAGATGCAAGAAACGCGGACTGTACCTTGGTAGTGACATAGCAAGCCAAACAGAGAAGGATGGCGGCCTCGCAGACACTGAAACTCATGTCGACACCAAAGCCATGCTGGATTATCGCGGTAGCGAATACGAACAGAAAAGAGTCTACGTAGATGGCAAATACGACTGGAACATCGTCAACACAACAACATCCATAGCAGTGAAAGAGCATATTTTGCGAGCATACGCCACTGTACAAAAGGTACTCTCCGCCATGTCTTCACATTGGTGAACCTGCTCGCTTCACGGATCGTTAATAGATATACGTCAAAACATGTAGGCCAGATTGCAAGGGGGACTTGCTCATAAAGAACGAGAGTGTCGTTAGCGCGACTAGGGAGAGAATAATGCTGACAAGCGTTCCGGCAAGCGGTTCTCTACGCTGTACAGCTCCCAAGTTGACTGGCAGCTCGGGTGTGCTTCCTGCCGTTGCAGGAGTTGAGGGAGCCATCGGCCACTCAGGGGCCACCACCTACGTGGTGTAGATGACGGACAAACATGCAGACATGAGAGCACGGCGCTCTAAGAGGTAGGGAAGGTTATGGGAGATATACTCAGGACGCCAAGGTCGGCTCTAAGACATGACGGAGGGTGGCCCAGACTTAATGATCAACGCTGATCTAAGTGCGCAGGCGCCACAGCCGCCGCTGGACGGCCCAGCATTCTTAGGGACGGATGAGCCTTTGTAGGTCGTTGTGTGTCGGTGCTGCCACAGCGAGATGAAATAAGCAAGGGGCCATCGATGTCTCTGGGGGCCTGAGGAGGGCGCTCCGTGTTGCGGGATGGGACGAAAGGGCTGGCTCGCTGGGACGGATTGCGGCTGGAACTGCCTCCGCGTAGACACGGCTCGCTAAAACACAATGCCAGATCGGAATGATAGCAAGCCCTCGAAGGAAGTAGGAGCTCGGACGCCTATCACAGTTGTTGTGAGGGAGATCCAAATCGTAACCCTCAGCTTTCCCAAAGTCGCGTCTCCCCAAGACACCAGGTGTGATACCGATAAAGAGTAATTGAGCTAAAGGTAGCCATAAATTGCAACAAAAGCAAAATGGGCCAGCCAATAGACAAGCAGGGAACAGAGATGATACAACTGGGACAGTCATGGTTCGCACCTCCGACTTGAAGTTGAGGTCCGGCGAGAGAAAGTGACAGTCAAGCTGTGCGAGGCATTACAGTCTATAGTCTGAGGCACTGAACCGATAGGCTGGAGCTAGTCGTGCCATATCACAAATCCATTGTGTGTATCCAGCTCGAGTATCATGGTAAGGTGCCGAGATGTGGACACCCCTGTGATGCAGTTTTCGCCCACAGTTGTTACAGCCATGTTGTTGTGACTACTAGACCCACTGGGGTTGGCTGCCCATCATACAATACTAGACCATTGAGAGCATATCTTAGCAAACAGTCGGTGTGATGCAGTCGTGTGGGAGTGCGGTGTGGAAAAGCAATGAGATAGCCAGGCGCCACTTAGCAGCCACCTTATGAGTTGTGACTGATCCTATTGAACCAACGCAACCATATGAAGTGAGATGACCTTCACCTGGATCCAAGACAATATTGTCTGTGCGTCGTTGTGTCTCCAACACTTACTTCATGTGGAGCAGGTAGGAGGACGACAAGGAAGCGCTGACGAGACTGTGAGATGTTGCCGGTCTGCTTTGAGCAAAGAAAGGTTGTATTTGCAGATCCAGTGCAGATTCAGACTTTTTCTTGGCGTGTAGGACGTATTTTGGAAGTCTGGTCCCTTACATTGACTTGGCAGTAGCTCGTGCTCCTGTCGTGACCTTAATCGATGGAACCGGGGCATGAGCAGGAAAGATCTGCGACAATATATTGTCTCGGTGCGAGCGAGCAGGAAGAGGATCGGAAAACAAATCAGCCAAGACGAGACGAGCAGTCGTCCAAGATTATCGTGCTACGCGACCATCCATCATGCATCGCGCAAGCTCATGAGAGGCGAATGGCATTGAAAGGCTCATCTGCAGGCGGACATCTCGCATCACGGTCCAGATGCGGCTGGTCAGTGAGGGGGAACGGCAGAAGAAGAAAAGAAGTAGTGGACGGTAGGTAGGTAGTCAATGGTAGAGTAAGTGGCTGTAGTGATTTTCTTTTTCTTTCTGCTCATGAGCCATGAGGCCAGAAGCAAACAGTTGGCAATTGATGGCAATTTAGCCGGATGTCCTTACCCTTTCACTTGCAGGACCCATGGGGAAGCGAGGTTCCTTGACCCTTGCGCAAGACCTGGTCTTCTCAGTGGGAAAATCCGGGGAGCTGGGTTCCAAGTCTGCGAGGAGCCAGCGCGGGCCAACCGACTAGGGACGGCCCATCCGTTGCGGGGCTTGCCCGCTCCCACTAACGCAGCCTAATGTCTAGACACCCAGATCGGCACAGGGCTGTTCACGCCACACTCTACAGCAAATCTCCCCTGCTTCTGGTGGACTAGCATCTGATCTTGTTCTTAATATGGAATATTGGGTAAGTAACGCCTGTGAGATAGGATGTAAACTTCGATTTTTGCGAGAAAAGTTCCTGCCAAGTATGATTATAGCCAAGCCTTCTACTAAAGGCAATGGTGGCTAGATAGACGAGAGTAGCCGCATGGTGTGAAACGGCACCTAACAGATGCTAACGACGGTCGTCTCTGTCTAGCACTGTCTTATCGAGAAGCTTACCGAGACATGCAGATCAAGGCGGATCGGGGTTTTCTAGCAAACAAGATTTGAATTCTCAATGACGATGATGAGTGATCGATTTCCGCTATTCCCTCGTGATATTGGCGATATGCGAGTGAAGTGCTACCAACATCGGAACCAGGATTGGTCCCTGCTCTCCAACAGAATCGGGCAACTTGACCAAGCCCTGCTCTCGAACATACATTGGCATGGCTTCTACCTCTATCTAGTATGACAGTCAAAATGTTTTGAGCAGAGACCATTGAAGACCTGGTTACGATGAAGTTGTGATGATTAAGCGTTTATCATTCAACTCAAATTGGCTTGTTGTCAACCTGTCTACTACCCATCTGCCGATTCACACCCCGTTGACCTTGCTAACCCCGCTGGACTATGATCGTCATTTAATGATAGGATCTCCCTCTTGAAATATTTCCTCAACGCAATAAATGACAAGCTAACCTACCCCTCGGTAAACACAGTGGTCGGTCGAATCTACAAAGCAAACTTGACCTCGTTCCCTAACGCCATGCAAATGCTTTCCGGTGGTGCCGAACCCATGTTTTGGACGAACGCCATTGTCTAAAGGTGATCCCTCCCCAAAAGTTGACTCCTTGTCCCTATTCCAGTCCCGGGAACCTGCCAGCTCCACTGAAGTAATATGAGGGGCATGTGTGCCAATTTTCATAACCCCGTCGATATATGAACAGGAACATTATGTTTATCGTATCTCCATCTTTCCGTCATTACGTTCATGACCACTAATCAGAGAGGTTCGAGTTCCACCGCCACTCCTAAGCAGATGGGCTCCTCCCACTCTGACTGCTCTCAACTCCAGCGGTTCGGCCAGGAGACTGAGCTCGCGTGCGAATGTGGAATCTGTCTCGTAATCGATCTGCTAGCCTAGCTCTTCGTCCTCTCTCGTCAGGCTCGGCCTCTCGCTCTACAGAGCCCTCGGGCTGCCCTTGTTGCTCGGACCTGTATCGCCTCAAGGCCTCGATCCGCTCTTCGGCCGAGGCATGTCTCAACCTGTGTAGGTCAAAGAGTCGAGACCGGCGGCGCTGTGACGCTGACGGTTCAGCCTCAGCGCCTTCTGCTGCAAGAGGTGGCGCAAGCTCTGCATCTTCGCTTCCTGCGGCTTTCTCGCCCTCCGGTCGAAGGTCAAGACGGCTTTAGTAGAAAAAGGTTAGCATATAGTTCCATTTGACAGGAGGTACTAGTAGGTCCGAGGCATAGTGTGACTTACCAAAGAGGGCAGGTGCCTGAGACGTTGATGAGCCACGGATCGATACATTGAGGGTGATATTTGTGGTTGCACGGCAGCACGCGCACATCCTCGCCGACATGGAAGTCTTCGGTGCAAATGGAGCAGCCCAAATGCTCATCTCCTTGGGCTTCCGCGGCTTGACCGCCGGCAAGAGAAGTCGACGCAGTATCAGGGCCTATGCTTGAAGCAGCAGTCTTGTTCTGATTATCCACCTTTGGTGTTGGAAGGGGGCTCTCTGGGATCGTCGACAGATGCGCTGGCCGGCTCTGCACGTCACCGTTGTGTTGTTCCTCAGATCGGTCGAAGGAAGAGCTCTCCAGCTCGATATTCGGGTCAGGCTTTGCGGGTTCTGGATTGCCAAATTTGACGATGGGAATGGTCTCGAGAACCGCGCGAGCGATACCCTTTGCGCGACTCTGGCGGGGGCGGCCGCCGTACCCACTTCGAGGACCATATCGTTCCGGATACCGGTGCGCTCGGATGGCGCCGGTTGCGATGATAACGAGAAACAAGAGGGTGATCAGTCCTGTGATACTATACAGGATGCTCATAGCAACAGCTGAATTGCTCCCGCCCTGGTTGTTCTGGGTGTCCTGGTCGGTTGTGGTGACATTTCCGGTGATGGTGGCAAGTACGGTCCCCGCACCTGCCGTGGTGATATTCAAAGCATCCGAAGCCTCATTTGGATTCACCATCGTGAAAACGGTCTGGTACTCGATGCCCCCTCCGGTAAAACCGCAGCAACTTCCTGACTGGCTGTAGAGGAGGATGGCTTTGGGTGGCGGTGTGTTTTTCACGAGTTGGTTGATGATATAGTTGGGGGTGATGTTTGAGTTGTTTGTCTGGTCGCAAGACAGGTATGCCACGTCGTCACCTCCCGTCAAGTTCACATAGCTTGTATCATCGGTAGCGAACATGGTGCCACTGATGACGATGGTCTGTGAATGGTGTTAGCGGAACCGTCGGCAAGTGTAGACCACGTTAGGCGGGATGGATGGAATTACCCCTCGCACTACCTCCGACTCGTTTAAGCCCAGACTGGAGGTCAATGGAATCACGGTGTAAGTAAGAGCCACCGGATTGGCATCTTGTGCGGTGATGGCAAGTTGCATCTCGGATTTTGTCTGCCAGTCGGGCACCTTGGACATTGGGTAGATGGAGGCGTCGGCGGAGACCACGGAGAGTACGCTGAGGAAGGCCAGCAACAGCGCACCCATCTTGCGTGGGTAGGCGACGGTCGACGTCGCCATGGCCGGAAAGTTGAAGATGTTTGGCGAGGAGATTGGATTCAAAGGCGGTCGAAAGTGGCGCGGGAGGAGGTAATGTAAAAGAGGAGCGCTGCAAAGGCCGCTCGCTCGCTGGCTCTCTGGCTGGCTGGGGTGGGATGTTTGAATGGACAAGCAGCAGGCTCGGGCCGGGTGTCACATCTCAATTCGGCAGGCGGGCATGGGGCCGGATTCGTGGTCGTGGTTTTCTTGATCGCCGTCGAGAAGAGGACCTATATGCGAGAAGAGTAGTTGAAGCTCTGGCGATTTACAGACAGATGAGGCGATGTGCAGACAAAGAAAGGTTGTGCGGCGTTCCAAGAAGAGGAGTCGAGTCTGGGCGTTCTAAGGTCTAAGGCCGAGATGGCGGGCAGGCGAGTCGTGGGGTGGTGCTGGGGTGTGGTGCAGCGAGGGTCCCTCGGAGGTAGACGGCACCGGTCAGCGACGACAAGCGATTAGGGTGCGCCAAGCAGCCCGCCAAGTACTGGGCAGATAGGCAGTACAGAAACGCTACACGAGACCGGCCGACAGACACTGGCACTTGCAGGGCTCAGGGATGATAATCTATGCTATTGCCTGCCAGGTCCGGCAGAAGAAAAGGCCAAAGAGTTTTTGCTTCAGGATGATGCGCTTAGGACAAACGGTGTAGGGCAAGTAGGATAATGCTGTCTAGGAACACAGAGAATGAATGGGTGATGTTGCAGCGACCAGAGATTCTTGGTTGATAGACAGACCCGAGACGGACTGGAGGCAGTGGGAGCGGCGTTTTGGGGGGTGGTTCTGAGACGCCAGAGCTGTTTTAGCGCCGCTGTTTCCGTTAAAGCAAGCAGGGCTCTCCGTCAATGGTCGTCTGCTGACTCGTCCAAGGCGTCCAAGGCCTTGGGTTTATTTCATGCGTCTTGGCCTCTTTTCCTTGGATCGCACCCAGGTCATGATGGGTTTCGTTCGCTGCTCTACCTTAAGTATCCGCTGATTGGGGTTTCTAATCGGCACTTCGGAAGGCCGTTTGCTGCAGGCTACTACGACTCGTTGAGGCTGCGCCCACCATCCCGACCACTAGCCCTTCACCACAGCGTATTCGATGCTTCTCTCGGAAGCCTTTGCGAACCCCGAACTTGATGTCTAAGCGGGGATCACTCAGCTTGAATCAGCCCTATGCTCCTATCAGGCAAGGGCACGCGCCCAGTGGGCCAACTTAGACCTCCCCCATTGACAGCGTATAACCAAGTGCCGTCATGTTATGATGGCTTGCCGGATGGTCCGGACCTGTCACGAGCGTGTGAGCGTGTGTTGTCTACTCTAGTACTAGAATGGCAGTGCAGCGCAATTCCATATCTGTCCGTCCTTGAGCGTATAGAAGACGTCATGAACTTTCCAAGCCCTTTCCACCAGCGTATCAGAGCGTATGGAAGCTTGGGTGGTGCTACTGCGTATAGATGTGTTCTGGAATTATTCTATCTTAGCATCAATCGCTCCGGACTCCGACAATGGCCCGCCTTCGCCTTAGACAGTGTAGAGAATACTAAATTAGTGCCGTTCGCTGATTTCTACAGATTGATATGATAAGTGCTTGCCATACTTGGTAGGCTGTTACAGAACCTCCTGTCGTTCATTCAAAGGCCTGCATGTAGAACAACACGCTTCATGGGTATGCTGCCGAAGCAACTTTTGGAAACAATGTTTCTCCCTCAATCCGGGGTCAGCGATGGCGATGCCTGCACGGCTGTTCGGAGCATTTTCAAGAGAAGGTAGATCACGAAACGGTCCGGAGGCTGCCAAACACCAGAGCCTGGCCTGTGTTGCCCTGATACCATTGTGCTTGTTCTTTCCAGGCGACTCCTTGCGACTCTCCTCGAAGTATTGACCTATCGCCCAGGGTAGTTGTGTTAGGTTGCTTGATGATCGCCTCGCTAGACCTCGCATACCAAACTCGGCTCCATCTCACCCTCAAAATCCACAAAGCACTCGCTCGGGAGTTTTCATGAAGCAAAGCCGCACACCCCTGCTACTTAGCGGTCGATCTCACGGTGGAGGGCTTACGCTTCGCGGAGGATTGACCGGACGCCAGAAACCCCAGGCTTGTTGCGTTATACAATGTCTGTCGTGTAAGGATGTAAGATGCGACATCTTTGGCAGATGTAAAAAGACGTTTGTTTTCTTTACGCTTCAAGGCAAGCTTATTTAGCATGTGCTGTGGCTTCTTCATGGCTTCTTCATGGCATGCGTGGCTTTGTTGTTTGGTGTCTGAGTCCTAGGCAAGCGTCATACAGTTAGTGTATCAACTCCTAGCCCAGATCCCAGAGACAACCGGTTAAATGCGCGACTACCGGGCTTTGCTGTTCGAAACTTGGGGTAAACTGAAGTCAGATTTCCTGTGGATCAACTTCATGACTGAGGTCAGGTCCATATAAGGTTAAAATTCACCCGAACAGTTCTAAATGTCGGAGCTGTGGGGCCTTCTGCCACGGTGGGTATGACATTTCGAATCCACGAGGCGTTTTTTTACCCTGCAGATGTGCGATCAAAGGGCTGGATCTCGGAGATATGCCAATGCTTGATGAGATCAGTAATGCCATATGTGTCTTCACAGTAAAAATAGGGATCTGTGGCTATAGTGATGAACTTGTCTGCTGACACCCTTGAGATCGTATATAGTGATCCTATGAGTCGGTGATTCTCATCTGAAATTGTGCTACGAACACGAAACAAATGCAGAACCTGCAAAGACCCTCATCGTTACACGATGCCTGGGAGTCGGAAAGAATTCCTCAATCTGTCCGAGATTTGAACAGCTTCGGATATGGTAGCTTCTAGCTGTCAAGTGTCGGAGGGATATCGCGTCTCTAAAGGTACTCGGTCAGGAGACATGAGCCTTAGATCTCCTCCATATCTTCAAGATCATCGACGGGCGGCCAGTCGCCGACCTCAACTCGCTCTGGTCTAACGAAGACACCGTGCTTGAGATCTGATGCCTCCCCCCAGTACCTGGTACCGCTGATGCTGCCGTCGTTCTTGCCCACAGGCTCGTCGAGATGAACACCTACCCAGGCGCCAAGGCCGCCGGGAATCTCCTTCACCTCACCGACATACCGGACTTCTCCCCGCCGCGAGTCGTCTCCTCCAACGCGACAGCGTAGGCCAACCTTGATGCCACGTTGTTCGACTTCTTGAGCGAAAGCGGCGATCTTTGCCTGCTCATGGCTTGGAGCATCAGGGTCGAATCGCCCAAGCTTCTGAGCCTTCTTCCATGCTAACACGGAATCCGTCTTCTTAGCATACTCCTCCTCTGGCATGACATACTTCTCGACACCACTAGTGTCTGTGAAGTTTGGCCTTGCCCCGGCTGGCCGAGTATCGACAACCTTGAACACGCTGTCAGTGCAAGCTACCCCATCACATCCGCCTGACAACCGGCCGAGACACGGTGTGCCGCCAACCATTCCGCAACCTCGGTGCTGATTATAGTCCTCTGCGCAGCAGCTCGTCAGACCTGCGAGGCAGGAAGGCCGGCCTGGCTCCACTACACCAATTATGCCGCATAGAAATGCTACTCACATGCAGCTCAGCATATGCCGACAGAGGAAAAGCGGTTAGCTGAGTATTGTCCTCATCTGAGGTCTCGATCGGGATCCTATCCTGAGTTGCAGATTTCAAGAACAGCCTCTGAGACGAGGGTGGAACACCGGTGATTGGCTCTAGCTTTGCCCTGAGCTGAGTGAGGGTCCACGATGGGGTGATGCGCCGTTCCGACGAAGAATTCTCGGATATGACTATGAGAGGAATGTCGGCCATTCTCGCTGTAGCAGCTCGTGGCTCCGGAACTGTTGTCCGATCCAAAGATATTGAAGTCTGATGATCGGGACCCTACGGGAGGTTAGGACCGGCAGGAGGCGAGTGCCGGTGGTTGTATGTCGGGAGGACGGCGGCTTGATGCGGCGACGTCTCACGACAAGCCCCAATAATATGTTTGATAATCGGCGTTACTTAGCTTCCTAGTCAGGCTCCATAACACCTTAGGGCGAGCCTACAGTACCTACAGGAAAATGTCTATCTAAATAAAAAGTACCGTAATAATTTTGTACGTTTTGAAATGGTCAAACCCGATGCCATTAGATAAACCAGAATTGTTTGCTTTTGAGTTGTTCGGCAATTAATCACCCAGATAGTGAGTGTTTCGAAAGCTGTTGCATCGTTATTGTGTGTAGAATTTGATAATCGTACTGTACCTGTGAAATCGGGTACCTGAGGCAACGGATTCGCGCTTGGTCAGCCACAACCTTTGCTCTAGGCGCTGCAAAACAAGTCCATCACTAATCCAGGAAGTCCTGACCTTAACTCATATTTTCCTCCACAAACGGTCTTGGGGAAAATGGCAGTCGCTATGAATTACACCTGCTGCACAGCGACTTCATATCATACCTACCTATGAAAATTCCCAAACAGGTGCAGACATTATGCTTTCAAAATGTTTCGCTTTCTCATGTATTGATCGCCCGCTAATGATGGTTCATTCTTTGCGCATCCAGAACTTACATAGGTATGCTAAAGGTGGCATGAACAGTACTACCTATTTGGGCAGTTTCGGTTGTAGTATCCTAGAGCCAGAAGCCACTTCCAGTGGATTTGGGGGATTCTGCCACAAACCAACTGAGCTACGTCGACCTTGCCAAAACGCCTCCCGCATCTGCAGCTTGGGTATAAGTGCTCCTGTCGCAGGTGACTACGGTACGGCACGTAGGGTTCGACCGGTCCAAGAATAACGGTGAGGGCTGGACAAGGACAGGGAAGAAACAATGACATTCATTGGTCCTCGAGCGTTTGCAAACCCCCGGCAAGTAGCCTAGATTCTCTGGAGCACGACGTTACCGGCGTCGGGCGTAATCGCTCGCATGCAGTCAAACATCAGATTTGGCAGGATCTGGGGGATGCTTTAGACCGGCTCGGTACGACCCCCACGGACTTCTATTCGCCCACGACTGTTTCCATGAGGCTGTAGCAAACGGAGGGCGCCTCCAAACAAACAAAGAACCATCTCGACCTACTATGTATATCACTTCGCCGCCACTGCAACCTGGCGCCTGGTCCCACAAGGCGACCCACAGGGATGTGCTGGAGTCTGGAGGACTGCAGTCGAGTGACCCTTTTGGGTTGGCCATTGTCACCAAGCAGAGGCATGGCAAAGAAGTTGCGGTCTGTTGCGGACGTAACAAGTCACATTGCCGTCACAGATACAATGGGCTGTTGAATTACGCTCCCGCTCCCCCACTCCCGGAGGAGTTCATCGAAGGTTGGCTTGGTCAGGGTTCGCTCCCTGAGATCTTACCTTGCTTCTCAAACGCTACCGCGTCATTCAGTCCACGTCGAATACCAGGAAGGCAGGACTTGAGATCGCCAACTCAACCACTGCCTGTGTATTTGGCCAGCAGGGAAGTCGCCCACGCAAGGCCGCGTGGTGCTCCTTAGACCTGACGACAAATATAATCAGCATCCATGTAGTTAGCTCTCCACCAGCCTCGTCGGGCTATAGATGATGTGCATCCTTGCTACCCAAGATTTCATGACTGGGCCTTCACCGCCACGTTGGGTTTCGAACAAGACCGTGGAATATCTGCACGTATAGTCAAAATGTCGATTGCCGTATCCTTGCGGGCAGTTGCCTACGTCCGGCCTCCTCGATGTCAGTACCAGCTAAGGGGTGTGCGGTTAACGATAGTTGTGGAGTCGTTTCTTCCACCAGCCGGGCACTACCAGCCGTGAGCTGTCGGCCGTCAAAGATGGCTCGGGTCCAACGGCTTGGGAGACAAAGGCTTTTTAAATTATTACGCCTGTCTGAGCAGGTCATTCACCAGGCAATGACGTCGAACGTTTAATAATTTCCCCAGAATCTATACCAGCTTAAAGTACTGATGCGAAGCTTGCACCAGGACATCCCCAGAATTTTGTCAGGGTGTACATGCATGCGTGCGCCGCATTTCAGGTCGCCAGCGCAGCCAAATGTATCTTGCGAGTGCTTCATCGTTGATGCGCTGCCGCGGGCCCGGCCAAGCCACCATGCAAGGACAACAAACTCCCCATCAGCCTGCATCACTTCTCTCGGCACAAGGGGGCCGTCAATCGACGTTAACATCTGGCCCTGGCACCCACGCTTGATTGCTGTCCAATGACTAGAAGGAGGCGAACGTAGAAATCAGAACTCATTGGGTCGGGTTGAGCAATGCGATTTCATAGGTTCAGATGAATCCTGGCAAGAAGACGAAAGGAGACTGCATACATACGATTTCTCTCACGAGACTTTGTGGGATTGTGGCAATGTATTTTGCTTGTTGCGGCAGAAGTATCATACGCCATGAGAAATGTTCTGGACAAAGATCGATCAGACATGATATCAACCAGCGGCGTCGCGCGTCAATGATTGTAGAAAAGTGACAAATCCCCCAGACCCGGAAATCGGAACAATAGCAAGCGTCTGCTAAAGATCAACCGTTCGTGCCTGGCGCCGACAAACCAAGGAGGCGATGAGACACTTACCTCTTACTGCAGCTGATGTTGCTTTGTTCGGGCACCAACAGTCAAACAAGCCGGTGGAGGATCTGCCGCATTCCACTCTTCCAGCTTCTTCGTTCACATCAAGTGACAAGTCTGCATCGTGCATTCTACCTGCACCGGTCTACACCGGCTGGATCGCGTTAGCCCAACATGGAGGGTTCTCGCAAGTGGCTTCAGTATGTATCAGTGCTTTGCTGCGTTCGTGTGACTGTCTCGGCCACTCCACGTCTCATGGTTGCCCCCTGCCCGATCCTCGCCTTAGGGCAGCATTGCTATGGAAAGAAAGACACCTTGCGGGCTTTTCGTGGTCTTGCCAACCTCGCCAACCCAACCTTGTGACTCCGAATGTGCAAAGAAATACGCTGAAGTCCAGGGAGGGAACATTGAACTAAGGGGCAAAAAAAAGCAATTAATTCCTCCCACTGCTAGCCCTTTCAGGTAGTGATCCGACGTGCTCGAGTTGTAGGGCGGCTCAATGTGTGGCTTGAACTGAAGAAAGTCCTCTAGTCCAGGTGGAAACAAGGCGGCGGGTAGTGCCATCACACGAGACACTTCTAACTACACTCTGGGGGTACTCAAGTCAGAAACGACTAACTGGCGATCATGGTTCATGGAGCATGACAGTTCTTGCGACGAGAGCTGCACACCATCGCAAACGAAGAAAAGATGGCCAACGCATACCCCATTGAAACTAAAACATGGGCTGTCCGGATCCTTCCACGATAGTCTGCGCCGCCCCGGTCCCTCACAGCAGAGAGAGGGGGTGGAATTCGGTGGATGTCTGCACAGCAAGCTGACCGCTAGTTTGTCCGTCCTTGGAATTCGTCAGCCCAGGAAGGCTATTCCCGGCGCGATCGGACACTGAGGCATTGAGCAATGGGCGACTTTGTTGTCAGGTCCGAACGAGATCCATCCATCCGTACAGTACTCTGGGACACACAATCCATTGTCTGCAGTTGTGTGGTTAGCCCCGCTCAACGATGTCGAGACAAGCCTCATCTTACAATGTACGTAAGAGGGGTACTCGAGAGCCTCGAGTCCCGGTCCGCACAGACAATGGCTTTCTAGTCCCTAAACCGCAACTGCTGTTTATCAATCGACTCAACCTAATAGGGAACGCTCTAGTCAAGCTCACGCCTCAGAATCACTGAACCGAGATGGTACCGAGTCGGAGAACAGACACACACCATCCTGCGCACAGAGACCCAATATAAGACCCCTTCCAAGAACAGATGGAGACACGGAATGCGGAAGAGCGTGTCTTTCCTAAACGATCGATTGTACATGAAGAGACAGCTTCTTTGGGTCGCAAGCCCGATCGCGAACCACGGAAACACTCTCAAAGGCATAGTAATTGGGATGCAATCATAATATCTTCTACTAAAGCCACCGTGAAGCGGGACCAAGCGAGGAGAGGCGACAGCAGAAGTTCCCGCCGTCCTGACGTTTACGGAAACTGTCTTAATATCCCAGACCCATCGCAGACGTCGGCTTGACCCAAAACATATGGGTGCCACATGCGCTGAACATGTATATGAACTAGTTCCCAAACTTCCAGGTATCTGGGTACACTAAAACCCGTCAACCACTTCGGCCACAAACCTGAATAACCGAGCTTTCGAGTCCAGCCGAAGTTGACAGTATCTCAGGCGCCTGAATGCTTTGCCGGCGTGCGAAACATATACATCTAGTTTGACGCCAATTGTTCAGCAGATCAGTTGCAAATCTCCGCAGTCTATGCCATTGCTGTGACTGTAGATTCGCAAGCCTTCGATCTTGCCTTTCTTTCACTGCCTTTCTCCACGCCTGATGTGCCGTCAAAGTACCTTTACCCTTGTTTCTGCACCCTGGCTCTGCATTCGTGCCCGGGGTCAAGCTTGCTGCACAGAACCCTGCCTCCCTGCCCTGGCCTGCGGGTTGAGCCTTCTGAAGAGCAAACACATTACGCTACTAGCCATCTCCGGAGTATCGTAGGTACCCCAAAGACATCAGAAGCTGCCCTGAGCCACCTTGGCTGTAAACGATGTCTGGATTGTTAGTAACCTCTGTCCGACAGAGTATCGAGTAGACCCCCTGATGAGGTACTCTCGGTGTAGGTCGTAGGCCATTGTCTAAAGTCTGTCGATACTCTTCACGGTGTCCTTTCGCCGCATGCTGGTTGGCGATATGCGCCATTAATCTACTAAGTCATCGCATTTAGCGTACAAGCCAAGGCGAACAACTGGAGTGGTGTAATGCTTAAACTGCGAGCTCATGCATGATTTCGTGGCCATGCCATAAGCCTTTTAGCTGATCACTCGCATCCCAAAGTCCTCCGCTGTGCTGGACAATTTTTCCAACAGCCTAGGGACCTGCAATGGATGTCTACATACCGAGGGGTGTATAACCAACCAGGGGGGTGTGTCGACTCGAAAAAATGTGTTTTCCATTTTATTTTATTTTTTTCCTTTCTTTTATTTTGGTTCCGCTAATATATATCATTTTAGGTTAGGCCGCCTCTGTCATTCCATAGTATGTAGAGCAAAGCTGCAACCCCCAAGAGGCCAGGCTTGTCTTAGTTGAGACTGGCAACTCCCAGGATAGCAGATCAACATGCTCCTCACGCTCTTATATGTCCAGCTGTTTTTAATATAGGGTTCAGGTGTTGGTAGACCTAACTACATCACCAGACTTACCTGCTCACATATAACACATTTACTTGTCTTTGCTGAACTCCACTCTTCCTTTCCACCCAACAAGTGCTACACCCCTCCCCCTTGTCATGTCTACTTCTACTTGCCTTACCCTGCCCTGCCTACCGAGACTGCCAGTCCTGGTCTCTGAGATCTCTTCTTGAAGCCTGCCGCATGCTGGTATCTGTTGTTTTGCTACCCTTGCTCTGGCCCCCGCTAGGCCTCCATCTCTTCGACCCGCTGCCTCTGCTCCCCTGAAGCTTTTTAAACCTTTCCTTTCCCTGTCATTCATCTGCAGCAACGAGCGCCTCTTCTCGGATCTTACCAGCCCTGTTTCTCGCCCTTGGCTCTACCCATCTTTCTGAAGGAGACGATGGCAATGGAAAAGTCCTTTTCTTTCATGGTGAATAGCTCTAACCAACTGGTTTGACTGACGTATTCCCTCGCCGGCGCGCTCAACGCTTCCGAAATTTGCTTTGACCATTGCTCTCATCTCCATTCATTGGTGGGCGAGTAACTGGGTGGCCGCCAATCATGTTGATGTCTGCCTTCGAAAATACCAGCCACGCTTGTACTGAAGTCTCCTGGACTCCGGAAACCTTCCTTCTCCTATTATCTTGAGCGGCCAACCTTGTCTACTACATCAATCACCATCGTTCCCTTTGCCTGGAAGGTCCAACTCCCCTAAACTGTCTCAATATCTTCGCTTTCCAGTTCTTACATCTCAAGATACCCCGGTCCGTCTCTGTTACACCTAACATAACTTATTGTATCCTCTTCACGCGTCAAGGATTAGCACTGGATTCTTGAGAGCGACTCTCTCAGTGTCTACGACCTCGTAGTATCAAAGACCACTCTACAGCTACGTTGCATGACAAATTAGTTGCGTTGCTTCACTCGATAACACACCTTGATTGGGAAGCATAAAGGGGACACGGCGCAACTGTTGCGCCCCATGAACATCTGCCACTCCTAGGCAAACCAGGCGATACCGTCACCGTGGATATCGCCTCCCTTCTCAAGGCTCCGGACTCAAATGAGTCCTATAACTCGCCCTCTAACCACTCTCGATCCGCCTCTATACCTCCATCAACTGCAACCGCGGCGCCTGGCGCACTCGGCGGTGGTGGACTGGCGCCGACCGCCGTGTATGCCTCTGCGCCGCCGCCATTAGCACCATCTATCCCGAGTGCCGGTGGAGTAATCGGAGGACCGTATCTAGCAGTAGCACCGCCGAGCATCCAAGGGGGGAGACGCAGCATGCCGCCACATACAGCGGACAGCCCGGCTAAGAAGCAGAGCAAGTGGTCTCCAGAAGAAGACGCCCAGATCATCGAATTAAGGGGCAGCGGCATGAAGTGGGAGGATATTTCCAAGCGACTGCCGGGCCGGAGTGCCATAAGCTGCCGGCTCCATTATCAGAACTACCTCGAGAGACGTAGCGAGTGGGACGAGGAACGTAAGAACAAACTTGCAAGGCTCTATGAGAGGTGAGTTACCAAGACTACTTGGACAAGGCTCCTTAACATGACACGAATTTGACTACCTGCGGGAACCTCAAGATCTCGAAACCTCAGTCATCGCTTCCTTATGTCGAAGGAGCAGATAGCTAACCCAAGAACCAGATTCAAACCGGAGATGTGGGCAAAGGTGGCCGAGGAGATGCAGGTTCCATGGCGAGCGGCAGAAGCAATGCATTGGCAACTAGGAGAGACCGAAATGGCTCGACGTGCAGGCGTCGTGCCCTTCGCCCTAACATCCAATGTCAACGTCGATGCGCCGCACAGCCAGAGAGGCTCACCGTCACGAGGCCACATACACTCACACTCCCAGAGCAGCCTCTCGCGTGAAATGGGAGGACCTACAGCACGATATGGCAGAGGAGTTGCACCGCCACCTGCGGCGATTCCTCCACCGCTGCCTCCTACACGCGGTTTAGCACCACGGCGAGAAAGCCTGCCGCCGCGGGCACCACTTCCCCCTGAAATGGGCGAGGTAATGATGTACGGGCCTGGCCCTTCCAGCCTGGCACCGATTCAGACCCATGGTCAGGGGCGCGGGGGCCTGCTTCCTGGAGTGGCCGAGTTGACCACCGGAGTAAGTCCTTACAGCACGCCAGCATATTCGATGGGCGTCCCGAGTGCAAGCCCTGTCCCAAGTGCGACTGCCAGCCCGGGACCGCTTCTGCCCACCCTGTCCTATCCCATGGAAGCGGCCGGCGCCGCGAAACGACGAGCGAGCCCTGAGATTAGCTCGAGAGAAACGACGAGACGACGACACCTCGATCCCCGACACGAAACTGGGCGGTAACGAATGACACGACGCTACCATACAACATACATAGCTGTACGAATGGATTGTCACCTGATGGATGCGAGAATGGCGGCGGAGTGCGACTAAAACACTTCTACACACACGACACAAACACAACATGGAGTTGCTGGTGTTAAAATGGTGCTTTCATGGGGCGGGCAAACGAAATCATGGTCACGACTGGCATTGGCAGGTTCTCGTTCTCTCTCTGTTTTCACGCGATACAAGAAGTCACGCAGACACACGCATATGAGTTGCATCGGGATGGAGCGCTATTATGCACAACTATTACTACTCGCTATTGCTTATGCTGCTTCTGCGACTGTTTGCTATCTACTTTCATGGCATGAGCATTGCGGGACGGACGGAAGGATGGACGGAGGACTGGGCAGGCGGGATTAGATGGGACGGACACATTGGCATTTGGCTTTGCTCGCTTGAGGGAGTCATGTATTCGTTGCGAGGAGCGAAGACTTGCTCTTTTTTGTTTATTTGCCTTTACAGCGTGGGATAATGCTCTTCTACTCATGTTTTTCTAAATCTACCTTGCTGATGCTATTTACTGATGTTACCTTCGGCGCCGCGAGAAAACAAAAGTCTGTCCTTTCAGGATTACGTGTTCTTCGTCTTACGGAGCATAGTGTGTTGCGAATTGGGAGAGGCTGTTTAGGCAAGCGAGTACGAGGGAGGGCACCATCGTATCTGAGAAACAAGGCGAACAAAAGAAACAAGGCTTTTACGGTGTTCTCTGCAGAAACAGAAAGGCTGGGGTCGGGCGTTGCCTCTCGAGTGAGATCGAAGCAGATGAGGATGGGGGCGAATTGATGCCCGTTGGGCGCAAGCTGGGTTTGTCACGATAGAATACCTCTAGACTCGGCGAAGAATTGTTATACAAGCAAGGACAGAGCACGCATGTACAAGAGATATGACCGGCGGTGGAGATTGAGCTGCAGAGAGCAATGCTCTTGCGGTGTAACCGATGATAAGAGGTACAATATTCCTGTATTCTACTCTTGTTCTATATCCTGCCAGCGATAACCCACCAGTTGTCCCTCTCGTATCCCGCAGAGAGGACTTCTCCACCAGCGGCGATGACATCCTCCTCGAGCTCGCCTTTCCTGTAGAGGTGATAGTACCGCTGGTATGTCTTGTCGGTGTGGCTCGGGTGCTGCTGGTGATCTGGCGGCGGCTCACCGCTCTTGTCTTCATCACCATTCCGGCTAGCCTGCTTCTGCTTCTGCATCTTCTTTTGTCTCTGTTGTCCCTGTTGCTTCATGACCCAGGGCACCAGGAGGTCCTGCTCTCCACCCTCGTCCCATCCTCTCCGACTGGTCCCTTGCTCAAGTGCCCACACGAAGACCAACACCTGGCCGCTGCCACTGCCGCTGCCAGCTCGGCTGGCGCCGCGGCGATCAACATCATCCTTGCTTGCATCCACGCTTGCATCTGCGTCATCTGCCTGTCCGGCGGTGATTGCGCCGCGGGCGCCCTGCTGCTGTTGCTGTTTCCTCCTAACATGCTTCAGCAACTGGCGTATGGCATCAACACGCCGCTCGCGTGTCGACAGGTGGTGTATGACGGCGATGCAGATGACAAAATCGACTGCCTCGTCCCTGAAGGGCAGGGCGAGACCGTCCGCCACCATGACATCGGTGCCCGACCCCTTTTCTGGCCGCCCACCACCACCAACATCAACACCCTCAGCCGCGGCCTGTGCTGCAGCAGCACCACCATCGTGGACGAATTGCCGCCTAGCCAGCGAAATGAGCGAGGCGCTGCGGTCTGAGCCGAGCAGCACGACGTGCGGGTTCACCGCCAGATACTTGCCATTGCCGCAGCCGACGTCGAGACCGACGGCGCCGGGGGGCTGGGCGCGCAGGAAGTTGGACACCATGGGCCACGGCTTGTGGCGCGTGGCCGAGAAGTGCGGCGCGATGGCCTCGTACACGCCGTGCACGTGTGTCTCCTCATAGGCGACCGCAGCAGCCTCCTCGAGCTCCTCCTCCGCGTGCTGGCGCTGGTGGTCGCGGGCGACATCTTGGTCCCCTGACATCGTCGTTGGCGCCCGAGATCCTGACTGAGCCTGTACCACCACCACGAACAAGCTACCACCAGTACCGGCGACTTCGACGGCACCGATGGCACCAACTGTGCCGTCTTGAACAGGCGGGGAATCAGAGCCGGCCCCGGAAATTCACCTTAGGCCCTGGCTACCCTACCCGCTTGACCGCTGCTTCGTTCGAGCCCACCGTGGGGATGACGCACGTCGTTAGGCCGAGCCAGGGCAAGCAAGCGCCTGACAAGGACCTGGTCTGTATGACCTGCAGTCGGCTTAAGGTTGGATGGAAAAGGTGCGTCTGCGCTGTGCTTCCTTGCTGTGCGAGTGTTGGTGTGGGTGGTCGTATATTCACTGCACAGCTACAATAGCGCCTCGTAAGGTACACTTGGTCAGGTTTAGCGCAAGGCCGGGGCCTGCCAGATCACTCTTTTCCGCTGTGAGGAGGTACCTAGGCAAGGGTAAGGTAGGCTCAATGTATTGTATGTTGGGCTCTGCTCGAGTACAAGACGCAGCCCTGTCCGGCCTGTCCTGCAGGACCTACTGCAATGTCTGTGTGTGGGAACCGGCGGGGCGGTAAGGATTCTTCAAAGGTACCGTACGGTCAGTCCCTTGAAGAAGTACCACTACAGTTCAATGGACAGGCGGTAAAAGACCCGACGGTAGTGGGCTCTGCGAGACGAGGTCTGAGCGTGCAGAAGCGCCCGAGGGAGGAAGTGAACGGCCTGAACCTTGGGTGGATAAGTAGATGCTATCATGTACTCATACCTTAGGTTGAAAAAGCATCTGAAGAGAGAGATGGAGGGGCGTGTATGGAATGAAAGATGGGCGGGTGGCTCTACAGTAAGTAGGGACTTAGTGGGGAGCTAACTGGGAGAAGTCCATTGGAAAGAAAAATAATGCTATCCAAGCCAGCCTTGTCCAAGCAAAGGCGGTCAGTCACTCAGTCAGTCAGTCAGTGCCTAAGCGAGCATCACCACCGCATGGAATTGTCTCAGCAACAAAAGCAACTATCCACGATGGACGAGGTGGAAGCTGCTCTGTGTCGGCGACGATCAGGCACCATGACGTACGGAAGACTGCGCCGGATATCGCCGGAAGCAAATAGTGTCTCAGGAACACACCCAGACGCTGTATTCGTGACCTCCAGGCAAAGAGTACAAGCAGGTATCATTCAATATACAATCTACCATATGACGTTTTGATAGCGCCAATAGTCGGCTCTCATTGTCTATTTCCTGCCTGTGTTCAATGGGCTTTGCGGATCAAAGACATCCGTTGTGATCAGCTCCGGGTACACCACCCCGCCCTGCTTCAACGCCTCTTCCATCGTCTCCATGATGACAACACTCTCGCTCCAGGGGAGCGTCTCGCTCTCTAGCTTGCCGTCCCTTAGACACCTGGCGGCCTCGTCCGCCTCCCAGAACATGCCATGACCAAAGTCTCTCTCCTCGTCCCTGGGAATCGGGCAGTCCACAACCTCGATCTGGCCCGGGTTGGCCTTCTTGATGACCTTGTACTGCGTCGGGCGGAACGCTGGGCCCATGACCTGAATCTCGCCACCAGGGCCTTGAATCTTGATGGCTGCACCGCCGCTGTTCTTACCGTCGACATCGGTACCGAGCCTCAGTGATGTGAGGCCAATTCCCATGCTTTTGTGCTCTGGGAACTGCAGGATCATGCTGGTCGTCTCGTCGGCGCCTGTGTGATACTTGTTGATAGCTGCAACAACCTTGGGCGCCTCCTTCTCCTTTTCGGGTTGTGTGTGATAAAGGACCTGGAACAGCCAGGTCAGGGAGTAAATGCCGAGGTCCAGCAGCGCACCTCCAGCCAGGTCCAGATTGACCATGCGATGGCTGTCGGGGAAAGTGACCGTCTTTCCATCTCCCGCATCATTGTTGAATGACAGATCGGCTGAATCGCATGTTAGAAGACATATGATATGGTCGTCAAAAGCTTTCTATCTCACCAATTACACGATAGACCGGGCCAATGACCTTGGACGCGACCAGTTCCCTGACCTTGATGCTAAGAGGAAAATACCGTGTCCAGACGGCCTCCATGAAGAAAAGGTTCTTCTCCTTCGCCTTTGCGACAAGCTTGCGGGCCTGAGAGGCATTGACGGTCAGTGCCTTCTCGCACAGGACGTTCTTGCCCGCCTCCAGTGCCAGCATCGCATTCTGGAAGTGATGGCTGTGAGGAGTTGCCACATAGACGATCTGGACATCAGGGTCCGCGACCAGCTCGTGGTATGAACCGTAGGCCTTGGGTGATCCCGGCGCCTTCACATCCTTGATGAACTTCTCTGCTCGCTCCTTGGAGCTCGACGAGGCTACGGCTACGACTTCGTGCTGTACATCGTTGACGCCTCGAGTGGCTGGATTCGTGAGCATATCCTTGACAAAGGCTGTTAAACAGGCATGTTAGCCTTCTCTGAATATTCGGCTTTGAAAGAGGGTTTCCATACTCTCGGCGATGCCGCCGGTGGCCATGATACCCCACTTGGCTGTGTACGGAGCCATAGCTACGTGATTTGTGAAGAGAACGATCTCGTTATGATGTTGTGAAGAGTCCTAATACGTTCACGAGGTGCAACGGCAAGTGTCGCAGAGCAAAATGTTACAGAATGAGAAACAATCGAGCAGGTGCAGTCAACAGCAATGTTTTTGAATATGAAAACCCTGATATCATAAGTCTTTTTAATAAATATCAATGCGTGATCGGAGGTAATTTGTTATCACCTCTGGCGGGGTAAGTGAAGCTTTAAGAAGCTGTCGTTGGTGGGGTAGTTACCTATGACATGATGTCGCTACCTACCTCATGCATCCCTGCCACTCTCCTCCCGGCGTGTCGTTTCCATCGACTTTCATGCGGCCGGGTAAATTCTTAGTTTTGTTCCATATGTAGGCTTGCCTCGATCCAGAAGAAGCCTTAAGGGAACGTTCCATATCCCCTTAGTTTAGCAGCAGCCAGCCAGCGGGGCCTTCAACAGACCTTGCCCCGTCGTCGTCGATCGTTCGCTCGAAGCTCCGCCCGGTCGACCTCCCTCAGAAATTACTACTTGCCAAAGAGCGCGCCACCGTTCAAGAAGCCGGATCAGAAAGCCGTTTCTGCCTTCGGAAGCCGTCAACTCCGCTCGGGAGAATAAAGTCCCCGCAACGCTGAACGCCTTTTCGTAAGTTCGAGCTTATCAATCATGTCTTTAGAAAGCGTCATTTTGCAGTGGCCCGCGTCCGCTCATTGGAACTGTTGCGGTTGCCTTTTTGGGATATCAGCAAGTGCTGCATCCACGGCGATTTGCCAGGAGGACTTCCGAGTCCGGTAGTTGACGACACGCGTGACACACACACACATACATACATACACACTATACTTTCGTATACATTCGAATCTTCGGATATTAGGGTGATAATACTGTTATAAGCCCCGAGAAAGTCACTTCTCGGGTTGAAGTCCGCCGAGCGTATGAGCAGCCTTGCAGCCTTGTGTTGTTGTGAGCTTTGGCGGGAAACCAAGATACTGTGCCTTTCTTTCATTCATGTAGTCAGAGTGAACTACAGCTTGCGACTGCTTCAAGCTCTCAGAAATGGCTGGTTAGGGTCATCTAAGGCTGTGCGAGGGGCAGCTCAAATATGTTGGCAGATGTCTAGTGGCATGGGCTAATTGGCAATCTTAAAGCTATGATCATGCCGTTGTAGTTCGGCATGGTACAATAGTATCGCATTTCGCGTTGAACTATTTACGCTCCTGAAACCAACGCTGCAAGATGGGATAGCCATCGTCTTACTTTGGTGAGAGCCGCTGATCAATTTGTAGTGTGTTGCCCAAGTCAGACCTTCTCAAATTTGGTTATGAGGAGAGGAGAACCAGTCCGTAGCCTACTGCGAACGCATTCTTCGATCACTACAAGGAGTACAACGAAGCTGTTTAGCACAGGGTTTTACCAATCTTTTCAACACCGTGTTTCACCGAAGAGATCATTCACCATGTCGACGTCAGCTCAGGAGGCCGCACCTTGGCCGCCCCTGCAGGAGAAGCTTATCTTAAAGGGCTATGAGACGACCGCTATGCCAACACTCATATATGGCACTGCTTGGAAGGCTGAAAAAACAGCCGACTTTGTGTACAAGGCCATCAAGGCTGGCTTCCGGGGTATTGATACTGCTGGTCAGCCCAAGCATTACAAAGAGCCTCTAGTCGGCGAGGGGATTCGAAAGGCAATCAATGAGGGAATAGTTACTCGAAAGGACCTCTATGTAAGTAAATTGTCGTCCTCACCTTGCACCTTGAAGCACTGGGTTTACGACGTGGTCATGTGTATATTGACTCCGTGCGACCCTCAACTTCTCTTACGGGATCTCAAAGCTGATCTCAAGGCTTTCTCCTCAGATTCAAACAAAATTCTGTCCAGTTGGCGGTCAAGACCCCAACGACATGCCATATGACCCTCATCTACCCATAACCGACCAAATCCACGCCTCCATCGCCTCATCGATTCGCAACCTCGCCACGCCTGATCAGGAGACGCCATATCTCGACTGCGTGGTGCTGCACTCCCCCTATTCCAAGGCGCGCGACACCCTCACTGCCTACCAAGTACTTTCCTCCTACGTGCCGCACTCCATCCGACACCTCGGGATCAGCAACGTCACGCTCGCAGAACTGCAGGCTCTCGTCGCCTCAGCAGACGACGGCGATGTCGACATCTCCGGCGCGCCGCTTCTGCCCCCGGCCGTCGTGCAGAACCGCTTCTACCGCGCGACCGCCTACGACGGCAAGCTGCGCGCCTGGTGCCGCGAGCGCGGCATCGCCTTCCAGTCGTTCTGGACCCTGAGCGCCAACCGCGACCTGCTGCGGCACCCGGTCGTGGAGGCGGCGCGGCAGGCGGCGCAGGCGGGCGTGGGCGCCGAGCAGAACATCACCATCGACAAGGCCGTGGCGCTGTATGCGCTGGTGCTCGGCCTCCGCGGCACGGCGATGCTGGACGGCACTACGGACGAGGAGCACATGCGCGGGGACGTCCAGGGGCTGGAGGCGGTGCGGAGGTGGACGGAGGGTGAGGGTCGAGAGACGTTCGGGCAGCTACTTGAGGACTTTAGGTGGGTGATTGGAGAGGGCGGCCAGGCCTAGCACGGAGTTTGACTTATTAGCTGGTTTCGTGTAGGCCTGAGGCAAAGTGCGTGATGTGATAACTGCGAAGAGCTCCAGTGCCTATGTGTAACGTTGCAGGTATTGTAGGATTACGGAGGAGAGACACTAGAACTGGAACAAGCGTATGTGGATTTGAAGATGTCAGGTTTCACTTGTGAGAGCAGGATGCGTATTATGCACTGTATTTGTCTAATTAACGATCCAATCCATAGGAGAGGATCGTGAATGCTGTTCGTAACTAGATTCCCTATGCAATGCAGGAGCTTTGCTCTGTCGGCTTCAATGTGCCGTCCCCAATCGCTTTTCGTCGCCCTCATCAAAGATCGTCTGCACCCTTAACTCCAACAATGCAATTGATAGAACGCAAAACATTCCGTCAAACGGATGTCCATGTCTGTTCATGTTTTCAGTACCCATCCGTCTTGATCCGGCCACGGAGGTTGGAGTATTCGTCCTGTGGCGCATGCATGCATGAGCATGGGAATTCAAGCCTTGATCTTCTTAAAGGAGCCGGGACTGACCTCTGCCTTCCGCTTGCCGAGCACCGGCTCCGGTGTGTTGCGCGAGTAAAGCGGCGTGCTTCCTCCGTCCTTGTACGCCTCAGCGTAGCAACTGGCATGATATGCGCGGTTGCCGACTCGGAGAGCATCCATCCACACCCACTCCTGAGCCTCGTCGAGCCACTTCATCTCGAACTTCTCCTGGCAGATTGGGCACACCGTGTTCGTGCCGTCGTCCGGAACAGGGATCCATTTCAGCTTGGGAGCCTTCGAGGCTGCGCTCGCTGCTCCTCCCTTTGACTCTTCTGATGTCTCTACGTGATCTGTATCGATGACTTCGCGGGAATTGATCCAGTCCTGCAAATTGTTAGTCGTATTAAGGCAGTAGACGAGAATGCAATGCTTCTTACCCTCTCATCAACATACCAGCTCCGGTGCTGGCCCCTCCTTTCCGCCTCGGCGATCCGCTGATGCACACGGAAGTGCCAGTCCATATGCGCCGTCTTCTTCTTCTTGCCTTCATCGTCTGTCTTGAAGCGTCTGCCACATTGTGTACATGGCGGACCGAGGTCCTCGTACAACAAGGATAACAGGTGAGGTCGGAATCTATGTCATATGTTAGTGTAAGTCACGTTGTGTCAATAGCTGGTCAGACCATACAGTTTTAGCGATGAAGCTTTCAGCTCGATGCTATTAATTCCTCCTTGGGGAGGCGGAGGCGGTACAACTCCCCTCGCAGCAGCAAGGATGGAGGCTAGATTAGGTGGTATCGGAGGAGGCGCTGACGGCGGAGGAGGAACCGGTGTTACATTCACTGGTGTACCGCCTGCCGGTGGAGCTCCGCGAAGGATACCAGCACCTCTCAGCATGTTCAGCAGAGCCATAGGGTCCGAGGGTGGAGGTGCAGTAGGTTTGTGTGGCTCAACGCGCTGAGGTGTTGGAGACCGTATGGGTGCCACGGCAGCCGGCGGCATGTATGGTGTTGACACTTGAGGCGTAGGAGTCTGCCTCGCCAATAGAGTCGCCAGAGCTCCCTTTCCGAACAGAGAGTCAAGGGAGACTCCTGCCGGAGGCGCCGAAGCAGGCGGATTCGGAGCTACTGGTGCTGCTACGGGTACTTGTTGTGGAGGAGGATATGGTTGTACGGCGATAGGGGGTGTAGGCGCGTGTGTGAGGGAGTTAGGGGCTTGATTCTTTACGGCAACAGCAAGCTCAGTGACTCGGTCTTTAACGAGCATCAACTGGTCATGAGGCAAATTTTGGCTCGTCAGGAGCTTTTGCAAGTCCAGCAACGCCTTCAGTCTTGTTTGTATACTAGTATCAAGAGGATTCCGTGCAAAATCAGCCTTGGAAACATCGATTAGTTGCTGGATGTCACCAGTCAACGAGTTTACGCTTAACGCTGGCTGTGAAGCCGGCACGCCGTACCCACCATGCGGTGGTAGTTGATACGGTGCAGCAGCTGGGGCGGATGCTGCTGGTTGAGGTGTCGAGTAGGGAGGTGCTTGCGCCTGGGAGTAATGTTAGCTTGACCAACCACCACAAATGATCTCCCCTTACCGGATGAAGAGGGTAAGACTGTTGTCCATACACCGGCCCTTGTGACTGACCACCGTTCGGGGGTGGATAAGGCGGTTGATTATATGGCCCTGGTTGCTGCGATCCTGGGCGTACGCCAGGTGGCGTTGGAGTCTCCCGGTAAGGAACGGGCGCTCGCCCTCGACTAAGAAATTGCTGTTGAGTTCGGAAGTTCTCTTGCTGGGCCTGAAGCGCAGAAGTTCTCGCCTTGATCAAAGCATTCTCAATCGGCCGGACAACATCGGGAGCGAAGACAGGCCTGGCCTCTATGCTTCCTGGAACAGGCTCTTTCCATGTCTTCAGCATCTCGTCCATCTTTCTTCGGGTGTTATTGTCTACCGACGCGTATGCCTCCATAAAGGTCTGATACAGCTTTCGGCCGAAAAATAGAGTGTAAGGTGTGCCGACATTCTTAACAATAGAGTCAAGCACATATAATGCGGGTAGTTTTCGCTGAGGGGCGACCTGAAACCACGTTAGCGACGAATCAATGGATCAAGTATCGGAGGGATCAGATGCGCGGTGGCAAGTAGAAGATTAGATGGTAGAAGGAGTGAGCACAGGCATTCATTTAAATTAACCTACCTTTTTGATGTGGTCTTGAAGGGCCTCTGATATGGCTTGAGCATACTCCGTGTTCTCTCTGGCAATCTGTGTCAAATTGCTGATCTCTAGTCTCGAGATGTTTGTCAAGTCTTCAAGGGCTTGCCGATAGTCTTCTCCCACGGCAGCGCTGTGATCTTCCTCGTTGTATGACATGATGGGCAACGTTGGAGACGGACAATTCAGAGCACGTGAACGCAGACAAATCAAGAGTGGTATATCAGCCTCGACCGGAAGTGGTCACCAGAAAGACTTGCGCTTGGCTGACGGCACTTGAGGGTGATAATGATGAGTGGAACGGGCAGAATAGGATGTCTCGTCACCGGATTGAGGCGCACAAAGACTCTTTTTCCGAAGTGCAGAAGTTCTAGGCAGAACGGTGATGTCCCCGCAATAGCTCTCCCGCCTATGGATCTCCTTTCAACGTCACCTCCTCCTCAGCTTGGCCAAACAATCAATGGCCAAGTCTACAGCCTCAACTGCATCATCTGCTCCCCGCCACCACAGACTGCCGTCTTGAAACCCAATATGTTCTATGGATAATGTTTCCGGGTACGGGAGAGCCACTGACGTCGATGCGATGCCGGATGTGGTCACGGACGAAGAATGAAGGACGAGGGCAAAGTTAACGATGCGCCTGCATCAATGCGAAGGGACGTATCGAATGATTCACGCACGATGATGCGAAGTGAGGGTTGATGGAGGAGATTTTGTTCGGTAGCACACAAATCGCCTAAAGGAATAAAAGAAGGACAAAGAGAGCCTGGCGCGCGTTGTGTCTCGTTGGGAAGGTTCAAAGGCCTTTTGAAGTTCCAAGTCGTTGTCAAAGGAATGAATGGAGGTGGTTCGCTGGGGTTGAGGCTGAAAAACCAAAGCGCAGTTGGAGATAGCTAAGCATCAGCCACAAGCGGTTGCTGGTCACGTGGGTTCGTGTGGCACCGCCTAGGTGCCTATAAACAGGGGTCAAAGCTTCACGACAATAGGAACAATAATAATTTGAAATGAATTCTTTAGCTGCCTGATGTCATCATCTATCATGCGGAAAATTAAGCATGCACATTCCGACCGTTCCTCTTGATGTGGGTATTCCCAAAGCAAATCCAAACGCCGAGCCTTATACGCCGTATCGGGCTGCAAAGCCACCTCCCCTATTATGGCAAGTCCTCCTGCCCCTATGATGGTACTATGTTCAGAAGCGTGACATCGCGGCCTCGCTGTAACGATGATCGGGTCTGTGGATGGGATGAAGAGCTGTCGGCGGTCGCTGGATATCTGGGACCACCGGGCTTGCACGATCCTCCGCCCAGGTGTCATCACCGCGGTCTTCTTGGTGATCATATGCGGATTCCAAGTCTTGGTTCTGGGGGATTGGCTTGCTGATCTTGATCTTGGAGTGTCGAATCGGGAATCTGAGGCCGAACCGGGTGCCTCGCTTCTCCTGGCGGATAGAGGCGCTGCGCGTGGAGTCGTAATCATAGGCAGTGTCCTTAATAGGCGCCGCAGCGAGCTGACCATCAATTCGGACCATTCGCGCTGTGATGCCGTTCTTCCCGTCGCGGTAGATCAGCGAAGAAACGAGGTTGAAGAAGCCGAAAGTGATTGACAGGATACCGGCCGCGAGGACGAGACGCCACATGGGCAAGCCGAGGTTGTCAATGCTGGCTGAGGGCTTGTTCAGATTGCCCAACACCTGGCAGCCCATGATGATCATGGCAACACCCAGCCAGGTGAAGCTGTGCTCCATGCTGAGAACGGGCCAGTTTCTCGCAAAGTAGTTCTTGAAGAGATTGACCTCGGAGATGAGGAGGAAGACGGCAACGGAGCTTGTGAAGAAGTGCGCTGCCGCGTCGAAAAAGAAGAAGTTGTTCTTCACGCCAGTCATGACAATCATGATCCAGCTTGCGGCCACCACGGTAAGGAGACCAATGATGTTGAAGCATCGAAGGATGTTGAGGACCACGAGGCCGGAGCCCCGGATCTTGGAAGGTCCCGACATGTTGAACATGGCGCTGTTGTTTTGGTTTCGGATCTGATTTTGGTTCTTCTTGTTCTTGTGGAAGATGCGGATTACCTGCTTGATAATCAGCCACCAGAACATGCTGACGGGATGGTATTCGTGGTTGCGTACGAGACGTAGTACAGGTCGTACAGGTTGTGAGCTTGATTATCTCTGGATTGATGATGTTTCTGACTTGCAGATATCGAATGAAGGAGGATTGGTGGGATTGGACGGTGAGACAGTAAGAGAAATAGAGAGAGACAGAGACAGAGACAGAGAGAAGGTCGCCGCGAGACTTTGTAAGAGATGTATCGGGCAGCCTGTGCCTTGTGTGAATTATACTAAAACAATAGGAAAATGGTGAATAGCTCCAACAGCATTGTTAGAAGCTACAATAAGACTTGGACAAGGCAAGAATCTATGTGAATGGGTGGCGGGAAAGCCCTTTGTATATAAGCAAAATAGGAAACGAGAACCATTGTTCAAAGCCGGTAAGGGGGGCTTGTCACCACGAACATGTGAGAAAGGGTAGGGCAGTCCTGGGAGCCCAGAAACACCCAAAGTGGAGAGTCACTTCATTGTGCGCGTCGCATGGATAAAAAAGTTTCAAAGCGTTTCTAGCCAACCAATTCTTTGGCGCGGGAGAGTGTTGCTGCTCTCAGTTCCGGGGGTGACACGATTTTCGAGCCCAAGTCAGAGCTGTCGCAGGCTCTGACTGTTTCATGGACGGCAGTCTGGCGTGACAGGGTTGTTTTCCCCGGTGCTTCATCAGAAGGGGGTAGTCAGTCAGTCACTCAAGCTCTTCTCCGGAAACCCAGTCGAGCTCGTCGGCGCGTCGTGGTAGGAGTTGCTTGGGGCTTGCTGAACGCCGGTCGAGGCCTGGTGGTGATCCCCCGGCTCCACGCGAGCAACGGCGCTGAATGGCAAAGGTGTGGCGATCCGCTACAGCACGGATTCCAGGACAGCCAGAGAATGCTTAGCGCATGAAGAAGTTCAGTCTTCGTCCAATGTTCCCCTGCCGAGAATGTGCAAGGAACAGGTCCAGACGGTCCCAATGAGGACAGAGAATTGGTTGAGAGGTGGGCGGCTTCTTTGCTGTATGGAACAAAGACATCTTCAGGCCTGGGCTTCGATGCGGCTTCGATTGGATGATGGGCTTCTACAGCAGTTTCAGAGTCGATTTAGCCTTCGCCGCTACCCAGCTGTTAGTGGCCACGCGCGGCAGGTCCAGGCCGTGGGGCACCCCATCCTACCTAAGTACCTAGTGCCGTAGATAGTAGGAGTCGCTGCACAGCCTCAACTTCGACCAGTAGAGATGCTGGGTCGAGTCTCCAGCATACACCTTCAGATTTCGCAAAGAGAATCGACGGAAAGGAGTCATTCATTCTGAAGCGACGATATCTTTGTTCAAGTGATATTTCTCAAGTGTGCAGCTGGCTAGGTAGGTAGGTTGGTGATTACAGGCGTCACGGCTGATGTACCAGACTGCAGGATGCTCTAACACGGCGAGCCCCGGATTTGCGGTCCTTCAACCTCGCGTCCACATTGTCTGCACTCCGGCAGTGAGCGCTTCCACTCCCGGCTAATCTCCTCAACTTCATCTCATTTACCTCAACCGGACTTCGAGGCAACAACAGCAAGTGGTTTGATCTGGCGAGACACAAACCTGGAGAATACGTTTGCTATTCGAGACAAGTACCAGGAAATGAAGTGAGTTGGTGCGTGGTCGAGTTCGAACCACCTGGTTGGATAGACAATCCTCGTGATAGCATTCATGTTAGTCTACGCCGCAGCCTATTTAGAGCTTAGAAGCGCGCGCAACTCGACAGAACAATAGCTTATCCAGCGACTGTTCTGAATAATAGGAACTGGTAACGCTGGACCAAACTCGATATAACCTCGCGGCTTGCATCAGGCGCGGCCGAATGGTTGCTTCTGGATTTTTTTTAGTAACGATCAAGACCCTTGTTTAATCTCCAGGCGCTGGCGCCTGACTTAGACGCGGAAGTTGATGCTCTAATAACATTGCTAGGTCCTGTGACGTTCTAAAGGAAATCCAAACTTTTGACCTATCTCTGCTACAAGGTGTTGGAAGACATACTTGCTTTCAGGACCACATGTCTCACGATTTATGCGAGTTGTTAATACTGACTCGATATAGACCCTGCCTTAATCAAGACATTTAGCAACAGACTTCATTTTCAGTATTCAAGTCACATCGTCTCCATTTCAAAGCAGAAGGTGAACAAGCGGCGGTGAAGACGCTATTTTGTATATTTGACTGAGTAACCGATATCAATGAAATTACAGCATATAAGAGACTTGAATCAGGTACGAGACGTCAGGTAAACTTCTCAAGAGCCAGTTTAGCAGTATGTCTAAGAGTTCCAGAATCGTCCGAAATCTATTGGGTAGGCGAGTCACGCGCTTATGCTGACAACGAACAGGCACAGCCTCACGGCCTGTAAAGCGCCGGCCCATGTAGGGGCGGCCTCTAGGCCTGGTCTGACCGTCTGACCGACCCGGCGGGAGCCCATAAATTTATTTCTCGCGCAAACCAGACCACACGCTTGGCCTTCCGCCTTTTATTCTGCGACAGACAACAGACACAGACACACCCAGCGACACCCTTTACGCGGCAAAGACTCCCCCCCAGGCCCCTCCACACTCTCTCAAGATGGCCCGCGGCAACCAGCGCGAGAAGGCGCGTGAGAAGAACCTGAAGCAGCAGGCGGCGCAGGTAAGCAAGCCAAACAGAGCAAGGAGCCGCCCGCCCTCGATCTCGGCGTCGGCGACTCGCGGAAAGCAACTGGGGATGAGGGCGACCTATTGCGCCAGACCGGCGTACGGCATCGCGCCTCCATCTACCACTTGTCAATTTTTTGCATTCCTACGCAGGCTGTGATTTGCTAACGCAGGCGGTTTTTCTTTCCCCGCCATACAGAAGAAGTCGAACGCCAAGAGCGGCAGCGAGATGCAGCGTGACAAGGAGGCTGTCGCGGCCAAGATGCGCGAGAAGCAGGCAGCTGCCGATGCTAAGAAGGCAGCCGAGGCCGCCGCGAAGAAATAGGACGCCATCGGGATTGCTTCTCAGAGACCCTCTGAACGGAGTAGAAGGAAGAGCAGGAAAGAAACAATGAGCGTTACGATCACACAACTACAAACTCGATTCTCGGGTTTCGGGCATTCAGCGGCGAAAAGACAGGACGGCGCAATGTTGCTGGCGCTTTGGAGGCAGGTTTTACGGGCAACCACAATCATACATACAACCACAATTGACAGTCATTTTGGCACATGTTTCCTGACCAACTCCCCAGTCGGCATGATGATGATCATGTAGTTGTGCCAAGTCCTGGTTCCTATGAAGCGCAGCCAGCATGAGATCGAACATTGAAACGAAGAAGACGCAAATTGCCAAACGTCACTTGAAACACAGTTATTCACAATACAGAAATGGCCATCACAGCGTTTGGGAGTTCAGGTTTTTTTTTTTCATCGATTTTTTTCTCGGATTTTGTCGTCTATACCTCCCGATGCGCCCATGTCCCCTAAGCCCAGACGGTCTGATCTCAAAATCCAAGGGTTGCAAAAAAAGGTGTAGTTCATTATTTTATAATGACCTATTAAGTTTCATCCAGAAATACGAACCAGTCATATATACCTTCATGGCCGGCAGGGTGGTGTGGTCTAAGCCTCACAGGCAGGTGAAAGAGGTAAATCTACAAAAACGAAAAAAGTCGTCCCAACTCCCAAGAATGGTATCAACAACCCGTCCCCGTTAGCTCGACTTAAGCCGCAGCCATGCTGATGGGTAGCGCACCTGGTATAACTGTTAGCTCTTGATTCTGGAAAAATGATACGAGGCAGGTGGGAGACTCACCTGGCATACCGCCGAAAGCACCAACTCCTTGAGCGGCGACAGCGGGGAATGCACCGGTGCCGATGGAGCCACACTGGACGGCGCAGACGCAGGAACCGTCAGCCAGAGTCGTGCCACTGCCAGTTGTAACACCATTGGTGGCGCCAGCAACAGCAGCGGTGGTCGTGGAGCTTCCGCCGAGAGGGAGCAGCGAGGTCGTGGACGCGGTAGCAGCCGGGGCAGCGGCCTCGCTACCGTTGGCAGCACCACCGTTGCCGGTGATGGCTGTTCCTGCGCCAGCACCCTTCTGAGCGATAGCCATGGCCTGGAACATGGCCTGGGTCTTTTCGGCAGTGGGGTTGATGGAGAAGGTCATGCCCTTTCCGCAGTGGCCCTTCTGAGCGCAGTAGAACCAGAGGGGAGTGTCAACCATGACTTGCATGGCAACCTGCGGTGGCGGGTTGATGGTGTTGTTGGGGTTAGCCTGGAAGCCAGAGTCCATACCGCCAGCGAGGGGATCGCAAGGCGTGGCGAATGCAGACTGAGTGGCAGTGTGGTTCTGGCTCAGAAAAGTGAAAACAACCATGTCACCAACGGCGGCCTTAACCTCCGAGGGCGTGAACTGCAGACCAGCGGAGCCACCAACGGTAACACTGTGAGTTGCGCCAGTGCCGGCGACTGTTGTGCTGGACCCGGCTGCCACGGTTGTGGTTCCGGCCTCGCCAGCGACAGTGGTCGCAACCGCTCCGGCGGTGACAGTCTCAGTGACGGTGACCTGCTGATTGACGGTGGTCGTGGCGGCGCTGTTTCCTGGGTTCACCCAGATCAGGATGACCTCTTGTACGGTGGTCTCTGTGATTCCGAAGCCTGCGAGACCTAGCCCTGCCAAACTTCCCTGCTGTGCCTTTGCCTTTGCTTTCCTGGCGGCGACCTTGTTGGCGTCGCGTCGTACGGGGTAGACATTGTGGACCGACTTGGCCAGGGCGAGGGGTGCCAGGCACAGTGATAGAGCTGCTACTGAGAACTTCATTTTGGTAGATTTAGATTAATGTCTTTCTGATTTTCAAGGAACCGTGCCTGAAACGGAAAGTCGACTGCCTGAGTTCTTGTTTTGACTGAAGGTCTGGATGGCGAGTGCCTGCTCGGGAGAATTGAATATGCAAAAGAGAAGGAAGAAATTCAAAAAGAGCGTATATCCGTCTGTTCTACACGGGCAATACCACGACAAGAAGAGATGAGGAAGGGAAACAAGAAGAGACGGTGGGCTGGGTTTGGGGGGAAGCCGGCAGCTTAAATCGAGCATGAAGATCTTGGGTCGCAACGGAAGCCATGGTCTCGTCACCCTGGACCAGGAGGCGGTCTCGAAACACCAAGAGAAAATCATCCGTACAGGGTTCTGTAGTCGGCGGCCCAAGGGTCCGATTAAGCAGCTACCACATCGGCGTTTGAGCTGAGAACAGCCTTAGCCTTGGGGGCGCCCTTACTGAGTGTAAGTCTTAGCTAGCCTTTCCCGGCCGCATTGTGCTTGCACATTTGCCATCCAAGGGTGGTCGAGCTCTCGTACGACAATGATGCATACCGCAGTGGGCGAGCAGGGGGTGGACGGCAGGGTCAGCCTCGCTGGGGCCGAGCCTCATGGTCGTGGACGCAGGAGTTACGCTGTGACAGATCCGTCTCGGGTCGTGTTTTGGCATTTCGCTTAAGGGTTGGGGTACATCGCCAAATAGCCGCTATGACCCCAAAAACTTGTACACGAGATGAAGTGTCCACAGCGTAGCTTATTCAGACTTCTGAAAGATGGAGGCAAACAAAACGATATTCAGATCTTTCTTCGTCGAATCCTTCAAGAGACTCATAACAAACTCTCAGAGAATCATGTATCTTGCTGTATTGTAGATTATTTGCGACTGCAAGCCTTGCAACACGCTGTTAGGCAAGAGACTTGTCAGTTGCTGCTAAAAGTTAAGGTTGTTTCGGTACCTGCCTTAGCGAGGGGCTAAACCAAGGGGGCAACCCCAGGGTCCTTCGGGTAGGCAAAAGCCGTCCCAGCCGTGGAGACCAAAGATTGGGTCTTTTCCTTCGTCTTTCTCGGTGACTTCTTAGCTCTCGCGGGCTGCCTCAAGCGCCTTGAGGCGAAGACTCGAAGGCCTAGGCCTGTTGGCCTGGCTGGAAGATGGCTTTTGCGCTGGATTACCCAGTCCTCAACAGTCCAGCGATGGGCCCTGCAACACTGGAACCGTCATCCTGTCTCAGCTACTGTACAGGTAACGAACCTGTACATCCTAGTGGCTACGCCGCTGTATTGGATAACATTTTATACTCTCCAATGTCTCAATAAACATGGGTTCTCCAGGTCGCTACTGGTAAGGTTATCTCACTAGTCATGAGAAGCAAGGGACTTGCAACCCTCGATAAGACTGACTGGCTTGTTTCTAAATCAAGCCGACAATGAATGGACGCCCCGCTCGCATCTCTTAAGCCTCAGCGGAAAGCTTCAAGAAGCCCATTAAAGTCCATAGTATCAACGGGTTTGAACGATCATCAAGGGCTGTTCAAAGACTATGGCCAAGCAGACCGGAAACGGATCCTTACTCTTTCCGCAACCCTGCACCGAAGATATAAGAAGCAGTCAGCACGTAGATCCTATGTGATAATAAGGTTGGGTGATGGGATGTAGGCAAGGGCACGACGGGATAATGGGAAAGAGGCTTGACATGAAACGGTCAAGTATCCCCGCGTGGTGGCGCTACTTAATCGTGTATGGGCGAAGATATGGCTTCGTTTCGTACTCTAAGCTGCCAAGTACCCCTGTCACACTGTATTATTTGAAAAAGGATTCCGGCAGTCGCGCAGATATAGAGAATGAGATCTTTAATGTCAATCTCGATTCCTGCCGGCATGTCTTTGACGGTCCAATTTCCGTAGGGAAGCTTAGCACTTGACAGGATAATGGGGTATATACAGTCCTGCCGGGGTGCGTGAAGGGGGGGGTTGTTGCAGGTCCCCTATGATGGAACGCAGGTCGTTACAGATTGTTCGCTTGAAAAGTCGATCAACAACGAGCCCTGCAGCCACTTTAACCCTTCAGAAACCAACGGCGTCCAGTTCCTCCGCCTTCCACCCTTTTGCCGTCTTGTCTCCGAGCTCAGCCTCTTTCGGATGAGCTGCAAAACGTGCATCGTCGAGTCTTGGCTTCAGAACTCTACTAGGATTCCCTAGGCTCCTTTTGCTGTCCCTCGTAGAGGCCCGTGTAATATCCTGCATAATACCAGGACATCAATAGTTTCTTGAGTCCTTCATCTCGCACTGATGGCTAGTCAGTCTTGGATATCTTCAATATCCGGTTCCAGAAGTCAAGACAGGAGACTGACCTGATTGTAGGAGGACTTGGGGAGGCACGCCGCCATGAACCGCATCCTGACCTCCCGAGCTTGCTTGGTGTCTGCTTGCGCTCTCGCCGTCTTTCTGGTCCTATTCGGCACTCGTCAGCGACACATTGATCGATCTCACGAAGCAATCGTGGAACAGCTAGCGCCAAGCTTTTTTGATCTGCCACGTTTGTCGATTGCTCCTGGGGGGTCTGGGCCACGATGATTACCTGACTTGCATGCGCACCCTCGTCGCGAGCTGACGTTTCGTGGCCTTGCCCGAGAGCATCGAGGTCAGGTCCTTCGATAGGCTCCCCTCCCTTGCCCGTTTCAGGCTTGGCATCCCGTTGTCGCGACCTGCGACGATCATTAGCAGTGTGACCGAAAAAGCGTCCTGTCGCATCGCATGAAAGAGACTCACGGTTGGGCCTCCGCCGTCAGGATGTCTTCCACCTTCCCACCACGCGCGTGGATACTGTGATACTTCTGTCCAAAGAATCAGCCTCTGCCATCTCGTCTCATTGGGTTGCTCTCATCGCCTGGTCCTTCGCGGACGAGCAAGGTTTGCCACACAAGTCAGGTTCTGACCTTGTATTCTTCCAAAGCCTGGTTCCACGAGTCAACGAGGAGGGAGTCATCCCAAATATCATCGTGTGTCATCTCATTAGTAGCTACATCCATCTTGAGCACGTGCGAAGTGTCGCTGTGGAGGTGAATGTGATGTATTGGGTTTGATAGTGGTAAGTGTAAAAGCTAAGGCAACGGCCAATGGACATTTTCGCAGTCTCCTCAGGCGAAATACACAAGCCTCTTCGCCAGACGACATTTTACACCACCGTCACCCAACAACGCTTTGGCAAGAATACGCTGGTCCTTGATAGCGCTTTCCTCGCCATCAATCAACCATCTGCTTTTCGGGGAGAGGTTCAACAAAGCATACTGCTTAAGACTTTCTGCTAATAGAGCAGCAATGATGAATGGGCATAGCATGGTAAACTACCTACCCAGCTAGTGAAGTCTGATGGCTCGTGCAGAAGCCTCGCTATGGGACCCACAACGATAGCTGTGACCGGAGTTTCCACTCCTAGAAAGTCTTGACAACAAACGGATCCATTCATGATACTATTTACATGTAGCTATGTAATCACATTTGCAGATCCCACCACCCCTTTCTGGTATTCGTCAGGTTTCTTCCAGCTGCACATGCGGATGTTGGTCGCCCTCGCAGCACAAGCCTGCCGTAACATCCAACTGCGGTTGAGGTGATTGAGCCCTAAGCTTTACACCCCATTGGCCCCCAGACTGAGTAAAACGGTTGGGAATCACTGGACAAAGTCTGCACTGGGGCCCCTCACCCGCCCCCAGGGTGACAGCCGTCCGCTGGCCAGCTAGCTGGGTGGGATTACTCAGTTGCACCACCTGAGTACCTAGCCTCGCTAGCCTCCTAGGCAGGTATGTGATCATCGATCTGGGGGCTTTGGTAGATGCTCTGAGATGGCGGATTTTAGCTGCGTTCAGTCACATCAGCGCCTCGACGATCGCCCCGGTGATCCCGCCGTGCGACTACCGGACTGGGGAAGACCGATCACACTGCGCCGTAACGCTGCAAGTGCTATTCCCGTAGAATTACAATCTGGCCACCAGAATTAGGTGGTTTACTGCATAGTAATGGCGTTCTAGGCCGCCACTTTCGCTCCTTAGGTCTCTCCTGAATGCCGCTCACGGCGGGGTAGAAGGATATGCGGGCCTATCATCTTGGGGGGGCAGCCCGGCCAAGAGTCACGGGTGCCCGGGAGGCCAGAGTATTGTGGGGAGCTGTAGCTCTGGACCAGAATCTACCCCTCATGTGCCACCCGAATGCCCCTCTAACGTCATGGTCGCCGGAGGAGATAGCTCGGGCCAAGCAAGTTGCTCAGGGTACCGTAGCAGGAACCTCAGCGGCTTGGTGGCACGGCTGGCTGGTCTGGCTGGGTAGCTAACTTAGTCTACTGCATAGTAGCTGTTGGTCCAAGGGAAAAACCTCTCCTATCGAGCATCCCCCTCACTCAACAAGGAGTCAATTGCCCAGATTGACCTATAATCGATCCTGCCACTTAGACGAGGTGTGGCAGCCATCAGAAACAGCCACCCGAATCGAGCCATCGAGAACTCGGCCAATCGAACAAGATGCCCATCAACATGGAGGGATCCGTGCTGCCAAATACGGTTGAGTAAGTTCACCAAAACCAACACAGTTCCCTAGTCTAGGACGCAGAGAGAGAGATACCAAGATGGAGCCATCACTGACAGAAGCCGTGGCGAACAGCCAAAACCAGGTGCGCCGATGCTCGACGACAGTGTAAGTAATTCTCAGCGGATGCTAATGTCTAGATAGGACCACTTCATCGGAATCGATGTCGGTACCGGCTCCGCGCGAGCCTGTATTATGGACTCGACCGGCGACATCAAGGCATTGGCTTCTGAAAACATCAAGCTATGGCAGCCTGTCGGAGGCGGGGAGGGCTCTCACTATGTACGTAGCTTATCTACGCCCCAGCAAGAACGAGGCTAACATGAGCGGTTCTAGGAGCAATCCACCACAGATATCTGGAATTGCATCTGCATTTGCGTGAGGAAGGTCGTGGCAGACTCTCTCGTGGACCCAACCCTTATCAAGGGCATTGGGTTCGACGCCACTTGCTCTCTGGCGGTGTTTGCCCATGATACCGACGAGCCGATCACCGTCACCGGCCCCGATTTCAAGAATGAAGGCGACGACCGCAACGTTATCCTCTGGCTAGACCATCGGCCGTTAGAGGAGACGGAGAAGATCAACGCAACCGGCCACAACCTCCTGCGATATGTCGGCGGGAAGATGAGCGTCGAGATGGAGATCCCCAAGGTCCTGTGGCTGAAGAACCACATGCCTCCAGAGCTTTTCGATCGCTGCAAGTTCTACGACTTGGCAGATGCTCTAACACACCTGGCAACCGCCAAGGAGACGCGAAGCTTCTGCAGCGCAGTTTGCAAGCAAGGCTATGTGCCCGTTGGTGTAGATGGCAGCGTAAAAGGCTGGCAAGAAGACTTCTATGAGCAGATTGGTTTGGGGGATCTGGCTAAAGACAACTTTAAACGTGTCGGAGGCGTCAATGGGGTGGTGAGCCTTTTCTTTGCATCTCTGTCATACTTTTCCAAGGGCTCATACTGACTTAATGGTGACTAAAGAACGGGGAATATTTGAGTGCGGGAGAACTAGTAGGTCAGTTGTCCGAGAAAGCGGCTGAACAGCTAGGACTGCCTCAGGGTATTGCTGTCGGTAGCGGTGTCATCGATGCCTACGCCGGATGGATTGGAACTGTGGGTGCTAAGGTCAAGCTCACTCCCGACCATCTCGATGATTCGGTCCCCAAGAACGATGTTTCTCAGGCCTGTACACGACTTGCTGCCGTAGCAGGTACCTCGACGTGCCACCTTGCCATGTCAAAGGAGCCAGTGTTTGTAAAAGGTGTTTGGGGGCCATACCGAGATGTCCTCCTCCCGGGTAACTGGATGGCTGAGGGAGGTCAGTCCGCCACTGGCGAGCTGCTACGCCATATGCTGGAGACACATGCGGCGTATGCTGAGACCTTCGCACTGGCTCAGGCCTTGGGAAAGAACATTTATGACTTCTTGAACAGTTACTTGAGGGATATGAAGAAGGCTGCGGGTGCGCCGTCGATCAGCTACCTGGTGCGCCACTTCTTCTTCTATGGAGACCTATGGGGAAACCGCTCGCCTGTTGCGGACCCAAATATGAGGGGAGCTATCATTGGTATGAGCAATGATAAGTCGACCGACAGCTTGGCCCTGCTATACCTAGCCACGATGGAGTTCATCGCACTACAGACGAGACAGATCGTCGACACAATGAACGACGCGGGACACACGATCCTCAGTATTTTCATGTCTGGAAGTCAGTGTCAAAACGACATTCTGATGGACCTGATGTCCACTGCCTGCGGTATGCCGGTACTCATCCCGCGGTACGTCAACGCTGCTGTCGTTCACGGAGCTGCCATGCTAGGAGCGAAGGCCGCAAGCACCCAAGAAGATGGGACCAGCGAAGACCTTTGGGATATCATGGATCGGATGAGCAAGCCAGGCAAAATCATCAGGCCAAACGAGGATATAGGCGAAAAGAAGCTGCTAGATGCCAAGTACGAGGTGTTCTTAGAGCAGTGCCGCACGCAACAGGAATACCGCAAAAAGGTCGATGTTGCCATCGAGGGCTGGGCAAAATGAGGTGACGCGCCCACTCTAGCAAGACTCGCAGGCATCGATGCGGCCGTAGAACGGCTGGGACCAAATGCATGATAGATTGTAATTTAGAACTCATAGAGGCGAAGTAATGAAGTATACCATAGTGACCGAAGCAAAAAGGACTTGACGGAAGAATTTCTCTTTTCACATTATACCGGTTTGCATGACCTGAAGGATTCAATTTGGTGTGTTGGTTGAGCTTGGGCTCCAGTGTTACCTGTACCCGTAATAGCCCCACTAAATAATTCCTTTCAGCTCTATGTATGTACGAGCCGCCTCCTACCCCAGCTATTCTGGCAGCCTTACCGCCCAGGCTATATCCCAAGCAACAAAAATTTGGGCGCCGCCTTCAACTCATCGAGCATCAAACGCGTGGGATTGACGCGTCTTCACGCTTCATCTTGCTGCGCTACTGCTTCCATCAATTCAGCAGCCACGATGTCTCTATTCGGCAGCACACTAGTCGGTAGCTCTAATAGTGGCAGCTTGTTTGGAGCTTCGACAACAAGCACCCCAGCGGCAGGAGGAGGTCTATTCCAATCTCTAAATGCAACTCAACAGCCTGCTACGGGTCAACCTTCCCAGCCATCGGGCGGACTCTTTGGCCAGAGTACTGCGACACAGCCTTCGAGAGCCTCTGTATTCGGATCGTCCACCGCAGCGAAGCCGCAAGCAACAGGAGGATTGTTCGGCAGCACAGCGACTACGCAGCCGCAACAGGCCACGGGCTCTGTCTTTGGAGCTCCTACTGCTACGACTCAACCTCAGAAGCCTTCGTTGTTTAGCGGCTTAGGATCGACTCAACCCCAAGCAAGCACAAACTCGTTCTCGACGCTCAACAAGCCATCCCCTTTCGGCGCGACGCTCAACTCTACGCAACCGCAACAGGCTGGCACGACAGCTGGTTCGTTCGGTAATAGCCTCCTATCTACATTAGTTCCTGGCGCGAGTACAAATGGACAACAGCAGACGCAGCAGACCGGTGCATACTTCGACAGCTTGTTGGCCAAGAGTAAGAAAGAAGCTGATGGCGAAGCACCGATGGAAGATCTCCCGAGCCTCCAACTGGGCCTGGGCGACCTTCGTCAGAGGCTCCGAAAGCTCGGCCCTCGTGCTCAGGACCGAGCGTTCGACGGCAAGGCGCATTACTTTCTCGCTGCTTCTGGCGTTGACCCTGGCGCGGCGGTAAGGGATCTCGGCTCCCTGGGGATCCAAACATCGAAACTGGACCGTCCACCTCAAGGGCTCGCACCCGGTGAGGTCGATGTCGAGACCTACCTCTCAAATCTTCAAACAAAGACCACCCTCGGCATGATCGCTGATGGTCTTGAGAGGTCTGTTCGTGACTTCGATGCATTCCTGGAAGATAATGTCACCATGGAATGGGAGGCACAGAGGAAGCGTATCTATCAGCACTTTGGCATCAAGCCGAGGGAGGAACCAAGTAGCACAGCCGCATCTGGTAGGGAGTCCCAGGGCGGGTTTGGCAGATCCCGCAGGAAAACGCAGCAAGGCACACCAGGCCCGCGATCTACTCAAAAAGCGAGCGCATTTGGTCGATCCACCATGCAAAAGTCTGTCATCGGTACACCCAGCAAGATTGGCTCTCATCCGTCCGAGTTCACTGATGTCAATGGTGGTGACGCGATTGGCTCTCTCAACGGAGCCGCTGCCATGGATGATCGATTCCTCCGAGAGAAGCAGGCCAAGTTGGCGGAGAGAATTCACAGTCTCAACGACAGTCGTGCCTACCAACGACCTTATCCTATCCTCTGTGAGCTTGCAGATCTCGAGTCCAAGTCCGGAGACCGACATGCACAGCACATTGTAGATGCTTACCATGCCGTGATGGATATGGTGAGCGAGTATCCTAATGCTGATCCCAGCATCCCCGGGTCCACAGCCAAGGAGCGCGAGTTTGCGAAGATGTATCTGGATCCTAATCCTAACTCTCCACATGCCATCGAGATGCGAAAGAGAATTCTCGAAGGCGCCAATCGTTTCTTGGAACAGCAATTCTTCGGCGAGGTTGAGGCGGCGATCGCTAAGCGCCCTCAGGATGCCAACCCAGGCGGTAGACCAGATGTTGTGAGCAAGATTAAGGCGTACATCCGTGTCCTTGCAACTGGGAAACGCCTCGTTCCCGACAATGTCGAATTGCAGCAGGTACAAGGAGAGTATGTCTGGGCGGTTGTCTTTTATCTACTTCGATCTGGTCATGTCAATGAGGCTGCGAAGTATGTCAACGACAATCAAAATCATTTCAGAAGCATCGACAGGACATTCTCCGGCTATATTAACAGTTATGCCTCGAGCGAGGATCGACGATTAAAGCGGCCGCTGCAGGACCGCTGCAATAACGAGTACAACCAGCGGGCTCGCAATGCCCCTGAGAACTCTATCGACCCGTTCCGAATGGCTTGTTATAAAATCATTGGTCGCTGTGACCTCAACAACCGCAGCTTCGAGAATCTACAAACCGATGTCAGTGATTGGATATGGCTGCAGTTCAACCTTGCAAGAGAGGGAGATCGAGCCATCGAATTCGCTGGCGAGATGTTTGGTTTGACGGAGTTACAAGCGAGCATTCGAGAAATCGGACTCAAGCACTTCCCCAAGTCAAGCGCCGAGGATTCGAATGGGAGCTTTGGCATGTTCTTCTATCTACAGATCCTCTCTGGCATGTTCGAGCAAGCAATTGCCTATCTCTACAGCTTTTCCTACGTCGATGCTGTGCATTTTGCGATCGCCCTAGAATACTATGGGCTGCTGCGTGCGGCTGATGCTCTGACATCCGGAAGCGATCTGCTAAGTCACAATACTCGTGGCCTCCCACAAATCAACTTTGGCAGAATGTTGGGCTATTACACACGAGACTTCCGAGCGGCTAACGTTGCCGCTGCAGTTGACTACATCATTTTGATTTGCCTCAACGTTGACGACCGTCAGCAACAGGCAGACCAACAGCACGCAGCGCTGTGCCACGAGGCTCTCCGTGAGCTTGTCCTTGAGACGAGGGAATTCAGCAAGCTCATTGGCGATATCAAACCAGATGGTCATCGCATACAAGGCATCATCGAGAGTCGCGGCCAGCTTATCGACCTAGAAGCTGAGCAAGACTTTGTCAAGGCCATTACCTTGCAGGCTGCTAGCTTCGCCGACGACAATGGACGAACTACCGACGCTGTGCTTCTGTACCATCTTGCGGGAGACTATGACACGGTGGTCGCCATCGTCAGCAGAGCTCTTAGTGAAGCCATCTCCCTGGAGATCGGTGAGGATCCTCTAAGGCTTATGCCTGTGAAGCCACGTCTTGAAGGCGGTGCGGAGCCGGGCACCAGCCTCAGCCTTGCATCCATTGACGATCCCGTGGAGCTAGCAAGGACCATGATGGGCATGTACGAGAAGGATCACATGTTCCGGTCAAAGATCCGGGATCCGAACAGGATTGCCTGCAGTGTCCTGCTGCAAATGTCCGAAATCAAGGGCTTCGTTGAAGGCGGCAAATGGCCACAATGTTTAGACGTGAGTATTCAACTCCTAAAATCTTGAAGTGTGATCTCTAACTCTCTTATTAGAAAATTCGAGCCTTGGAGATCCTTCCCCTTAGCGCCAAAGGCGATCCGAGCATCATCCGCAGCTTCGCTGCCAAGTTCTCTGGTCTGCCGCAATCTGTCGCGATCAATGTGCCGAATCTGCTGATGTGGACGGTCATCTGCTGCACAAAGCAGCGGGAGCGGCTTATGAATGGACAATTCAGCGGCAACGAGTCAACATCGCGCATGCTTGCAGAGGAACTCAAGCAGATGACGCTGGACTTGACGACCTACACCAGCCAGTTGAGATACCGCTTCCCGCCGTATCTTCATGAAGCGTTGGCGAGGGCGTCTGCGGACTAAGCAGGACTAAACAGGGGAGCAGGGGACATGGTAGACTCTTATGGAAATGGAACTCTGCAATGGTCAATCCTAATGGGGATATTGAAACACGATTATGATATCTTGTAGGACTAGAAGGAGTGTGATCACCAAAACTCAAGAGATATGACCGTCCAGGCGCTGTTGCTTGGGCTTGAGATAGAGAGCAACATGTAGCATTATCGAAGCAATGGCATGGCTTACATACCTACTGCATCAGGAGGCCAAATTTGGGTTATCCCTCTCTAATGCTATCCTATCAGGATTATTACGGTTTTATACTGTCTAACCTACTTACATTGCATGTTGCTTACATGTAATAGAGAGGCGTTACTTGCCTTGTGCATTACCCCAGGGATGCTGAGCAACGGGCGATGATCGCAAAGAACTGATTAGCATGTGAAACCTACTGCCTACATACATGTCATCGTAATGTAAGTGACTGATCATAATGCGCATGTATGCAATAAATGTAAGGGGCCAATGCCATCCCAATCGCACGGTTCCGGCGAACGTGTGGGGGGTTTTCCAATTGGCAATAAGCAAGTAAGCCAATAAGCCAGCTCTTATTGTCGATCCCGCCTATGGAATTCCGAGCAGCGCAGACATGCCCATTGCGGCACGCCGCGCTGCCTGACTCGAGCGCGGCATTACGAGCATAGTGCCACGGCATTTCAATGAGTCGTTATCGCCAACCTCATAGGCCTCGAGGCTCTTTGTGCCCACCTGCACCCACCCACAATCTGCGCTGTGCCTACCCTACCGAGCCTACCATACCAGACCACCCTTGCAGAACACCGGCCTCTTGATTCGCACGGGAGGGGGCGCACCGCACGATTTACGACCCGGCCGCCCGGCGCTTGTTGCGAAGTGAGCTGACACAATGGAGACGGAGGTGAACACAGCAGCAGCAGCAGCAGCAGCAGCGAAGGCAGCTGTCATTCCCAGTCCGCCAGAGCTCCTCCCTAATGGAGGGTCCTCCTCGCTCGACTCCGTGGGAAGCCGGACCTCCCGGGATGGAGTCCAGCATTCTCCACCGGCCGATGATGGCCATCATCCAGATAGCAAGAAGCGCCGCACCGGCCCCGGCTCGAGAGGAGTCGCCAATCTCACGCCCGAGCAGCTAGCAAAGAAGCGAGCCAACGGTGCGTATCCAGCATAATTCTCGCCCTCTATTCCCTTGCGGCACATCTAGCTGGCCGTCCAGGATCGTGAGGATCTCCCACTTGCCAAGCATTCCTCTACCCTAGTGCTCACCAAGTCTTCCTCCCTCTGCTGTTGCTATTATTTCAACTTGTAGTGCTGATCAGGGTTGTCCTACAAACAGATCGCGAGGCGCAGCGAGCCATCCGAGAACGGACGAAGCTTCAGATCGAGAGCTTGGAACGCCGGATTGCCGAGCTTACCTCTCAACAGCCCTACCAGGAACTGCAAGCTACAATCAGGGCTAAGGAAGCTGTCGAGGCCGAGAATGCGGACATCAAGAGGCGCCTGGGCTCCATTGTTGCCATGATCCAGCCTCTTCTATCATCTTCACAAGGTGAGACCTGTCCAAACATATATATACATGGTTACACTCGTGTTTTGTATGGAAATCATCCATGTCTACGATCTTGCTTGTCTGGTTTTCCCAATATGGTAAAGCCCAAGACTGACATATAATTCACAACAGAACAACAACCGGTTTACCCATCTCCCAGCCAGACCTTTGTCCCGGTCTCGGGATCAGCACCTCCCGCCCCGCCGTCCTTACAAAATGTCTCGACTCCTACAAGCGCGGCCTCCCCGGCATCAATAGAGCCGCACGGCCAATGGCTTTCCGCAGGGGTCGGTGGAGGACCTCCCGGCCAGCCACCAGCGCAGACATTCACGCAAACCAAGATGCTGGATCAGCAACGACACGACCTGATTCACGGGCTGGACCTTGGAGCAGAGAGGCTGGGACTCGATTTTCTTCTAGGGCCGTCTCAGAGAGTGGCGCGGATACAGAATGGCACCAATGGTGCTCAGGACTCCCCTGGCTTCAATCGAACATGGGCTGGCGCTGGCCAGGTAATGGGCTCTGGGTTTAACCAGGGCTCGGGAATGCCTCGCCTGGATTTTGCAACTGACGCTCTGACGCCTACAAGCGACAACCTAGCGGGCTACTCTGCTCCGATCAAGAACTGCCCTCCAACTTGTCCCCTGGACAGCCTCCTGCTCGACTTCCTCCAAGAACGCAGACAACGGGCAGCGGAGGGTCTATCACCACAAGATATCATCGGACCAAAGTACCCTAGTGTCTCCTCATTGCTCAACCCAATGAGCAGCCGCTTCTCGCACCCGCTGTCGAAGGTCTTCACCGACATCCTCCAGACCTTCCCGGACCTCTCACGACTACCAGAGCGCGTGGCAGTCCTCTACATCATGTTTCTTATAATGAGATGGCAGATCTCTCCCACGCAGGAGAACTACGACCGCCTCCCGGAGTGGATGACTCCGCGGCCCTCGCAGCTCTTCACGCCGCACCCGGCATGGATCGACCACCTGCCCTTCCCGCGCATGCGCGAGAAGCTGGTACGCGACTATGGCCCCGCGGAGTTCCCCTTTGAGAACTTCTTCATCCCCTTTACCACGACGCTGAGCCTCAACTGGCCGTACGAGGACACCGACACTCTGCTGCAGAGCCCCGACTCCGACGAGCTGCTGATCAACCCCGTGTTCGAGCGCCACTTGCGCCGGCTCGAGAACTGGACGCTCGGGGATGCGTTCGCCAAGGCCTTCCCCGGCCTGGCTGACACGTATGGCTTGAAGAGCGAAGGCCAGGAACGGCGGCGCTGAGTTGTGCTTTGGGGAGAACTAATATTTGCCTTTTCCGTTGTTGGAGTTTATCTATATTTACATGTGGGATGTGATGTTGGGTGGTCTCAGTAGGACGGTATTTTTCATGATTTCCGCAGCCCCTTTCTACGGGCGACGATCGTTTATAGGCGCTCAGGCATATACGGATGGGCGGGAGGTCCCATGGCATAGGAACGGAAACAGGATATCAGAAAAGGAAAGGCTCTGGAAAATGGGATTCGGCGCACCAGGGTTCAGCTCTCAGGTTGTATGCATTTGCATGTCGGCGTAAATACTATATAGTACAGGGTATCTAGCTACCAAAAACAGACATTGTTTATTCATCAGTCATCATTATCCGATCCAGTTTGCCATCCTATGATTGGCATAATTTGTAAGCAACGAGTTGTCAGGTTAGCAACGCCTGACGAGGAGTGCGTGTAGATAGCACCGTAATAGGTGATCTGTACAAGGAATAACCCTCGCGGGAAGCCGTAGAATACTTCACTCTTCGTCTTTGTCCGCAGTACCAAACGAGTATTTCTGGATGTATGGTCCCGCACCAACGAAGAGGCTCGCTTCCTTCTCTCTGGGCATAGTCTGGAACATCATGCTCTTGACAGGTCCGTCCGCAGCAATGCCGTCGACGTCGCCGGCCTTGAGCCTATGGCCGCTATGCAGCGAGTACACCGCAACCTTGCCGTCGTCGTGCGCCGCAGCTACCACGCCAGCAGAGCGGTTCACGTCCAGCCCAATATCGAGGTGTTCCTCGTTCTTGTAGTCATAGAACTTGACAATAGGCTGCGTCGTCTCCTTCTTCTGGAAGCGTACGTCGTAGATGCACATCTCGCTCTTGATGCCTGCTGCCAGGACATGGTGCTCGTTGAGCGCCTTCACATGCGCAATGGCAGGGCTGCGAGGCTGCCACCAGTCCCACTCATCGGGAGGACAGCGGAGGTCGATCATCCACAAGCGACTGTATCGGCCGCCAGCGAAGAACGTGTTTACGTCGAGGGGTTTGAAGTCGATGCTGAAGGTATCGAAGGCGCGGTCATCATCCTCTGACTCGGGCGGCATGATACACTCTAATGGGCCTTCTCGGCGCAGGCCGAGAATCTCCCTGCTGGTGCCAAGAAGGTAGATCAGGTCAGAGTTGGCCGGTGCCGGGGTACAGGTGTTAGTCCTATGTCTCCTATACTTCGGCGGCAGCATCAATGACTGAAAATAATCACCTAGATGGGCGGTTGGCCCTGGTCAGTATACAGCTTCGCATGGTCGTACTCCCAAAGGACCCTTACATTCGCCAATAAGCCAATTTGGTTTCTTTTCGTCTGGTGTTGACAGCTCTGGAGAGAATGTAAAGACACCGCAGTGCTTCCTGGATGTGAGGAGGATATGATGGGTTGGTGCATGATATGTGATGGAAGACATTTCAGGAGCTTGGACAACCTCACTTGTCGGAAGGAAAGGTCGGTACTTTTCATGGGCCTTGACTTGGAAGTTGATTCTGCAGGCATAGTTAGAATATCGACCAGTTATTGTTTAGTATAAGTTACACACCTGTCATTTGTATCTGTTGGAATGTAATGGCCCAGCAGTGTGATACCATCTACACCTAGGTTGCGTTAGTTGCTAGACAACAATATTATTTCCCTTGCTATTTGCAAGAACTCACTTGCATAGGCAACTCCAAGGCCTGTCTTTGTATCGGATCCATCGATGTACATATGTTGGACGTTGGGAGACCTGAGCCTCTCATAATTAAAATTAAATGAAAGCTCGCCCTTCTCTCTGAGGCCTCTGGCCCAGCAGCTCGCAGGCACCTCTGCGGACACATGTCCCAGCTCTCGATTCAAGGCTCCTCCCAGCAGGGGATCTGCCAGTACTGAGGCTCGTTTAACCAAGCGTTTGGTACGTTCCTGGCGTCTCTGTATCTTCTTTGCCTCATTGCCTTCGACCTTTCTGCGCTTAACAGCGGTTGCGGACCATTCGGCATCTACAGGGGCAGTCCGATTGCTCTCGATCCGGAAATACCGCTTTTTCTCAGGGTCTGTGCTGTGTTAGCTGATAATTCATCACAAGTTGTTCCGTGCTATGATTTACCATAATAGAACCCCGGGATGTCGCGATTCATCTTGTCGTTAGCTCATCAGCTACTACCTGATCCTGGACCTGATGCTTGTTGAGTTTGTCCCAGGGGTGACGGATCTGAGCACAACAAATCACATTCATTCAACTCAAGAAGTAATACAGGAGAATGACGAAAGTGTGAAGTGAACAAGTGAGAGAAGGCAAGAAGTTTTTTGTTTGTTGTGATGTGTTAGGGACAACCTCAGAGGCAGAAGTTTGGAGGGCAAAGGTTCACAAACTTGACGATCACGTGCCTTCGTCGATTTCAATAATCCAAGAGCAAACATTGGAAGACCATCACCAAAAAGTAAATAACAAGCCCGACCACACCGAGCCATGCTCTGTGAATCGCATTTCCTTCTCAGTATCACTCTCTATCAAGAGCACAGATCTTGGTAGTCATGATGGCTACCAGTTTTCTACGATTATTACCATCATTTTGTGCTGACTACTGAAACTGGAACTTATGACTGTCACTTACTGACTTTGCTATTTATCGAGCACGAAATAGAATCTTACTTACACGATTAGATGTAGAGAAAGCACTATAGCTGAAATGGTAGATTGCTATACAGATATGCCTCAGACATGAACATCCTAACAAGGTTAAAGGTCCAGCACGATGTATCATTATCCAGGTTAGGCTCCAACATATTGCAATACACATGTCACTCCGATAGGCACACAGCGATATATTTTTTATGTTTTGGTATTAGTTTGTCTAAAAAGAACTGTAATGGGGTTTATAACATCACAGAGCCCCGTACAAAATGTGACAAAGAGAAATAAGGAGGTGGCAACCTCAGCCTCATCTGGTATACACATTTCCACCGCGAAAATAAGCAGGGAATCATGGGGAATGGGCATCGAGTGTTGTAACACCCAAGAATTTATTTATGCCCCGATAACGAGGCGTGGTATCACAGCGACACCAGCAGCTGAATTGCTTCAGCGCTGATACGCTTACTGGGACTTCTCGTGCTGAGTGGACACGCGCTGGAGAGAGACGACTGAGAGAGATGTTAGCATGTGATAGTTCCTGGTTACGGGACGAGGTTAGCTTACCGAAGTCCTCAAGAGAGCGCTGCTTTTGGCTGCCCTTGGGGCTCTTGCCGTGCATGAGGTTGTCGAAGCCAACGCTGTCCTGGAGGATGTAGTAGACACCGCCCATGATGCAGAAGACACCGAAAGAGAAGATCCAGATACGGACGACGGCGACGATGGAGGTCTGGCCACCAACGAACCAACCCCAGATAGTGAAGCAAGTGGCAATAATATCGACGATGAGGATAGCACCGCTGAGCTGCCACGAGGGGATGGAAGACCAGAAGGGGCCGTTGGCACGGGTGATGAAGATCAGCCAGTTCTCGGTCAGAGAGATCTCAAGGAAGACAACGGGGTCGAGCTTTCCGAAGTTCTGGACGATACCACCGTTCTCACCCTGGGCGTACATGGTGGTGACAGTAATCCAGGTACCGACAGCCAGGACAACACCGAGGAGGACGGACATACCCCAGAGCTTGGGCAGGTTCCACTTGACGGGGGTCTTGGAGAAGGGAGCGTTATCGTAGGCAATAGCCAGGGTAGCGACATCAGCGAAAATGGCAATGAAGACGACCAGCTCAATGTTCAGGGAACGGTTGAGAATGGCGATCCACAGGCCAAGGTAGACCTCCAAGTGAATGGAAAGAGCGATACGGTAGACGACGTAGGCGTACATACGGTGGAAAATCTGGCGAGAAGTCTTCAGAGCATCAATGATAGCACCAAGACCAGGGGCAAGGAAGACAATGTCGGCAGCAGATCGGGCAGCATCAGAGGCACCCTCGACAGCAATACCAGTATCAGCCTTCTTCAGGGAGGGAGCATCGTTGACACCGTCACCAGTCATGGCAACAAGGTAGCCACGCTGCTGAAGAATCTCGACGACATTGTACTTGTGCTGGGGGAAGACCTCAGCGAAACCATCGGCAGCCTCGACGAAGTCATAGACCTCAGAGCCAGGCATGTCACCGCCGCCACCAAGACCCAGGCGCTCAGCGTTGTAAACGTTGGTGCCGAGACCGAGCTGACGAGAGGTCTCACGAGCGATACCGACGGCATCACCAGTAAGCATCTTGATGGACAGACCCAGAGACTTGGCCTCGTTAATGGTGCGGGCGGTATCGTGACGAGGGGGGTCAGAGCAGGGCATAATACCCAGAATCTCCCAGGAACCCTCACCACGCTTGCGAGCAACACCGAGAGATCGGAAACCACGGGTGGCGAACTCAGCAACCTTGTTCTTGTAGTCCTGGTCGACCTGCTCGGGGATGGGGTGGTCCTCCTCGACAGTCTTCAGAACGAAAAGAGGAGCACCCTTGACGCAGGTGATTCTCTCACCCTGGGGAGACTCGACAACAGCGGTAACCTTCTTGCTGACAGGGTCGAAGGGGAAGAAGTCAATGACCTTGTACTTGGACAGGACAGACTTGGCGCGGGGGTAGTACTTCAAGCTCTTGAGGAAAGCCTTGTCAATGGCATCAATACCCTTCTTCTTGCGGGAAGCAGCGAGACAGGCAGTAAGCATGAGATCCTCGGGGTCGACACCGGCGACAGTGTACGGCTCAGAAAGAGAGAGCTTGTTCTTGGTCAGGGTACCAGTCTTGTCAGAGCAGAGAATCTCGACACCAGCCAGGGACTCAATGGCGGACAGCTTCTGGACAATGGCCTTCTTCTTGGCGAGGTAGGCGGCACCGACAGCCATGGTGGTGGTGACGACAGCAGGCAGACCGACGGGGACACCGATGATGGTGATGGCCAGGGTGAACTCGAGAATCCTGACAATGGGGTTGCTTCGGTAGAAGGAAGAAACCCAGACGATCAAGTTGGTGAAGATGACGAGAATCAGCAGAATGGTACCAATGCCGTTCAGGACCTCGGTGAAATGTCCAGTGCCGGAAGAGGCAGCGTTGACAAGGGCAGCGGCACGGCCGACGAAGGTGTTGTCACCAGTGGCGGTAACGACAACGAAGGCCTCACCACGCTTGACAGCGGAGGAGGCATAGCACTGGTCGCCCTTGTGCTTGTCGACGGCCAGAGACTCACCAGTGATGGCGGACTGATCGACCTGCAGGAAAGCGTCCTCGGTAACGATGCGACCATCGGCGGGAATGATGGTACCCTCCTCAACCTGCAGAATATCGCCAGGGACGACCTCGGGAGCCTCGACCTCCTTCAGGGTACCGTCACGGAGAACGACAGCCTTCAGGGCGAGAGTCTTCTTCAACTCGTCGACAATAGAACCGGCCTGGAACTCCTGGACGAAACCGACACAGGCGTTAAGCAACAGCAGGGCGCAAATGACACCGAAATCGACCCAATCCTCGAGACCAGCAGCCAGAACGGCGGCAGCCTCCATAACGAACTGAATGGGACCGACGAAGTAGCCGAAGAACTTGAGAATCAAGTTCTCCTTCTCCTCCTTCATCTGGTTGAGACCATACTTCTTTCGTCGTTGCTGAACCTCCTGCTCAGTGAGACCGATGCGAGTATCGGTCTGGAGGAGCTCCTCAGGAATGATACGGGCACCATGCTGGTCAGCTTCCTCTTCCTCACTACACGCAAAATTGTTAGCATTAGCACGGGTTGGTTTTGCGCAATTGGGTGGAGGAGCTAGGAATTAAAGTGGCGCCCGGGCGATGTGTAGTGGGCAATTTCAGCGGGCCGACAAAATTGTGCAGGCACACGCCCATCACACCACCCCCACGGCACGGCGCATTCCAAGAGCTCCACCACACAGACATAAACTTACTCATCCACATGTCCATCCTGACTCTCGAGGTCCTCGATAAGCGCGTCGATGTCTTCATCCTCTTCCTCATCCTCTCCGAGTTCCTTCTTCTGAGAGGGGACAGGCTCTTGGGGAGCCTCCTTCTCGGAGAACTTTCCGGACTCAATCTGCGTGTTGATCGCAGGCGACGTTGTTTGGTCGGCCATGCTGGGCGTAGTGTGGCAGATGAGCTCCGCTCACGCTGCTGTTTCGGCGAAAAGTAGGTGGTGGAAAAAACCGAGTTCTTGTGATTTCGAAAAAGAGGTAAGAAATAAATAGAGCAGGTCGAGAAGAGCGCAGGAGTTTCTAGGCCTCTAGGTTTTGCGGGAAAACGTAGGGTTCGGCGGACGCGGACCAAAAGGTTTGTTTTGGTTGCGGGGGAGAAAGAAGCTCTCTACGTGTGTTTGTGCCGGGACAAAAAGACGCCCACCACAAAGCAGAGCAGACAAGACGCCGTGGACAGCAATGGGAGTGGAGTGGGGAGGGAGGAGGGAGGAAGCACCTCACGAATTGAAGGTCGTACCTTATGTATGGAAGGCCTTCGTGGGTGTTGGAGAAAGGAAAGAGAGAGGGAAGGGACGCTGCGAGATGGTGGGCGTAGCTACCACTTTTATTTGGGCTCTGGGTCTACGAGAGAGTACCCTACTTGGTCTGGTAGGCCCACGGTATACTAGCACCATGGATTGGATGGGATGGGCTACGGAAAGGGTATGGCATGGGACGGATGGGACGCTCACACACAGACACCCACATCCATACAGACTCGCAATAAGGTAGGATAGCGTAGCGTAAGGTGTGGGTATGAGTATGGGTATGGGTAATGGGATTTCCCACTACCTACGGCACTGTGCAAATCAACGAGCGAGCCGAATGAGTCGGGGGAGGAAGAGAGAGATACTGTGTGTGAGTGTGACGGACGAGCACTGACGGCGGCGGCGGCGTGTGCGTGAGTGAGCGAAGAGCGAGCTATCCGGCAAGCAGCAGCCCCAAAAATCAATCCTTCGGTAGCGTTTTTTTTTCTCTCTCTCTCGCTCATCGATGCGCCAAATCATAGCTTCTCGATTCTAGCTAACGACTACACACTACGAGTGAGAGCTACATGCAGGTCGGAGCTAGGGTACAGGCCTGCACAGTGCCATGCGAGGGCTCCACACCTCGCAGATTTGCTGCCGGGTGATGAGAAGAGCGTTATGCGCGCTGCACAGCTAGTGCCGCTGCCAGGCTGCCCCGTATGAGTGAGTACTGTGCAGGCGAGGTAGCTGCAGCTGGCCCTGTCCGTACAGGCAAGAGCAAGAGAGCCCAGGTAGGTACCTAGGTACCTTGGCTCCTTGGGTATCTGGGCAAGCCGACGAGCTAGCTTGCGATTACATACAAAATCTTGGGATAAACATCGAAGTTCTTTCCCGTATCGGCCTGGGCAAATCCTGGGCAGCGTCCAATCACCCGCAAGGGGCCCTAGCTTCGGCCAATAGCGATTCATCCAGTTGCAGGTCACAATCCAAGTGACTTTAATCTCGCAAAGTAAACAAGTACCCTGGCCCCGCCGATGCGCCCACTCGTGCCCCAGACGTCCCCATCAATTCTGGCCGGAGGTACCTGGCAGCCAGGCCCCACATCCGTACCGCTCGATCCTAGGCACAGGTAGGGTAAGGTACCTAGGTAGGTAGGTCAAGGCTCCCGGTCGCTCTTTCCTGTCGGTCGCCCTGAGGGATTTATTTTTTATTTCTCTCGCCCTCGGTCGGCCCTCTTGTGGAATATGACGACAGCGAGGAAAATTGCGATTTCTGGCGGTCAAACAACGACCAGCCTGAGAGCGTATTATTCCCGACCGAGTCAATTGGCAGGCCTGGAGCAGCAGCCGTTCATTCCCGACCCAATTGACGCGTTTTTTATGCTGTACGGTAGCTGGAATGCTCCGAGACATCCAAAATAAGCACGCAGACTTGCAAACACAGGTGTACCGTATCGTCCACAATATGGAGACCTGCGGCGAGATACCCGGCAGGTAGCAACAAATAGTCGACGAAATAATGTGGACGGCATCAGCTCTTACCCGCCTCAAGGGCGTCTGTACCCCCATATCACAATCACAATATGGCTTGGCTGTCTTTCTTTCTTGCTGGCCAGCTGCTGCTGGGCGCTGCTCCAGTCGATCGCCGTAGCTCCAGCAGCGGAAAATTGGGGGACGCATGGAGCAACCAAGCAGAGCAGATCAACAAGCTTTTTGCCAGACCACTGTTCGTCATGGAAATCAACTGGGGTAGCCCATGCTTGCGCCGTGGGCTTTGACTGGCCGGCTGGCCAGGGTGGCAGCAAGCCCGCAAAATGTTTCTTATCGCATCCAGGCTCGAGCTTGGAGTGACTTGACAGTACCAGCTCTGCCCTGTGCGAGCGGCCACGGTCGCACCGTGCGCCTTGCCTCGTGGAAGCTGTTGGCGCTGTAGGTAGGCGGTCTCGTAGTGGTAGCCGCTAGGTTGAGACCCGGCCGACCACTGTGGGGCCAGCGATCGAAGCTCTACTCTATGAAGGAGAAGCTACCGTAGCAGAAAATAGACCGATATGCGCGGTTTCCAAGAGCTTGCAATTGCAAACCGTTATGCTCTAATTGGAGGCAAAAGACATGGGAGCAGCGTACACGGCTTGGCCATCTATTCCTCGGACGGCAACGAGCATGTCGAGCTCGTCTATCGCTTTTGCCATTGCCAATGCGAACGAAGTCTCCTTCTGGCAGGTGTCAGCAATCGGCGAGCAAGCACGAGAGCCCAGATGACGATGAGGACGACTAAGTGCCGCTGCCAAGCTGCCCTACGTCATGCCCTCCTCTAACCGCCCATCCAGCAATTCTGCACATTTTCACCCACCTCGGCCCTGACCCGACCCAGCCGGCCGTGCCAGACCAGAGCATTTCCGCACACAACCACTCAAGTCGGCGGATCGGCACTCGGTCTCGCCGCGCAGCAGACCTGGAAGCTGACGGTTCGTAAAAGAAGATTTTACCCCATCGCCGCCGACGCGATGCACCCGCAGTGGATGGATCGAGGATCAAACCGGAAACAACTCGCATGCCCTTCCCGCTGTTTCCGGTCCACTATTTCCATTTTCTAGCTGCCGGGCATGGGGGCGATACTAATACTATCCTCTGCAGGAAGGGTCTTTGCTTCCGCTTACTGTCGCGCTGTCAGACTGTGTTACTACTTGCTGTCTTGCCTCACCGACAGGCTAGGGCAGTCTGGAGAATCGGAGAATGACCGGCTTGGCCTCGCATATATCTCGTGAATAGCCAAAGGGACCTTGAAATCCCTCATTCACTTGGCGCTCGCCCCGGATCTCCATGCGCCGCAGTTCGGACGGCCGGGACAAGGCGGCTTCAATAACTATCGGTCTAAAACCCCGCCAGTCTACTCGAAACGGCTCTCTTGTACGGCATAGTAAGAGGGCTTTAGAGACGCACTCCACGATCCTGTCTTGCCCAGGGACGAGACACGTACTACATGCGCAATTTTTCCACAAAGCAAATAAGCCGGGAGAAACAGTATGGTGACATGATGGGTAGCACGCAGACAGAGTATCGAGACGAACGACATCGGAACGCCGAGTCAGGGCCAAGTTGTCTCCGTGTATGTGTTTCAATGCCGTGCCGATGCCGAGAAATGTCTCGATATGCGATCTCGAATATGCACCACGTTAATTGTGATTGCCCGCCACGCAGCAAATCACGATATCCACAGTGTGAGCGCCTTGTCGAGGCTTTCTTCCAGAAGTTCCGATTTCAAAATGAGGAACCCGCACTGACCAGCACCGCTAGGCCAAAGGCGGCCTAAGCAACGACTTGCCGTTTTAACGCTCGGGCTGAATGCGGCACTGGCTGCGACTGTTTGTTTGGCCGGTTGGAAGCACTGCTGCAGCGCATTGGTGATTACAATGTCATTGGACAAGTGGGCCAGCCGAGGGCAGAGGACCCTTAGGTGAGATTGCGGCTTTTCAATATTTACCTCGCTCTGTTTTGCTGGCCATTGTTATGTTATGCATTCACGAGAATATGGGTCCGTCCCATTCAAAGGGCAGTTGCCGTCGGCTCTGAATTCGCCGCCCTGTCAATCGAAGATACTCTACCCTTGCTTACGGCAGTATGCTCTTGTACACACTCATTTTGACGGTTTGCGCGCATGACACTGACTCCAGTCTTGCGCGGGTCCCCTTTCTCGAAGCGAGATAGTCGGCTAGAGCCCTTGCAAATCCTGGACTGAATCGCGGCTTTCGTGCCTTCGCCATCAGGCCCCTGCCAGGTGCCAGTGCGTGCCGTTGCCGACTTGTACTACCAGCTAACAAAAAGAGCGCGTATAAAATTCACTTCGTTTTGTGCAGACTCACCAGCGTGGATGTGGCCAATTTCCCAATACCGGTCGGTCGCCGAGCTGCTTCCGTTAGCTGTGTTAGTCAACCTTAGCTGGTGGGTGCTATACTCTAGGTATTCTCGGACATTATTTCCTGCAGATGAGCTAAACGCGGATAGCAAACCGTTCGTCGCGTTGCATCTGATGTTTGTGTTATTTTGAAATTTCCCAAAAGGAGAGACGCGTTCACTGATGGAATTCGCTAAGGCTTGGCTGGAAATTTGAACCTGAGCCGTATTCCTAACGAGATTGGCCTATATAATGCGTTCCTCGTCCTCACGATCGTCAACGCGAGGCTCCTCAGTGATCTGATGTTCTGACGAGTAATGCCAGCTCAGCTCGTCCCCAGACTGTGCGGACAGCGTGCCCCATCAAGAAAAGCCTCCAGCCCATCTATCCAATTGTAGGCTCGGTGAATGTATGCATGGGACAGCCTGCCACGGCCGACCATACTTCGGCCGCCATGTTGCAGATGAAACAGCCACACCAAGCATCTGAAACATGCCAACCTTGTTCTTCGACAGCCTCATAGCCTCGTCGCGAACAAAAACAAACAAGACGTGGCTTGCGCCCGAGGCAATGGCATGTCTGGTATAGATTGACTAGAGGCTTTCAAGTTTCCAGCGTGATAAGACCGCCGTCTCGCTCTCGCTCGTTTTTGCGACGACCGGATCGATCGGCTCACTGGTGCCGCTGTAGCGACTTTGCCCTGCTATTTTCGTTCTTCAGTCAGTCTAGACAGAAGCTACGACTACGAGCTATCGTGTGAGACCTTAGCTTGATAATCCTACTAAGCTATTCCCGTAACACCCATTAGTCATGTCTATAGCCTGAGGTACTACGTGTCGGAATACATGTGCAAAAGCCGATGAATGCGGCGGCCACGTTGAGAAGCCGTGTCGTAGGAAAGTTGTTCCATGAGGTAGTCTGAGGCTGCAAAGTGAAAAAAAATGGTTCATGTTGGTCTGTTTCCAGGTCGCAGGCCGTCCCGTCAGCCTTGCATGATGATCTGCGTTGTCTGTTCTGCGCATCATCCCGCCAGGCGGGTTTCGAAACATCTCCAGTTCATGCGTCAAAGTTTGGATGAAAACGATTAAGCTTTCGGCCCCCCGTGCGGCACATCACTTGAGGCTCTTCATGTGAAACACTTGCGGTTCCCTGACTCTTGAGCATATCGTTACGTCAAGTGAATATCGTACACCTCCGCTGGGGTAATAATTGTTAATTCTGAGT